ATTTTAGACCTGAGGACACCTTTAGATTGAGAGTGAGGGGATGGAGAACTATTTATCATGCTACTGGAAGCCAAAAGAAAGCTGGAGTAGCCATACTTCTATCAGACAAACTAGACTTTAAATTAAAGGCTGTAACAAGAGATGAAGAAGGACATTATATAATAGTGACAGGGTCTATCCATCAGGAAGAGCTAACAATTATAAATGTCTATGTGCCGAATACCGGAGCGCCCAAATATATAAAACAATTACTCATAAACATAAGCAACCTTATTGATAAGAATGTGGTAATTGCAGGGGACTTTAACACCCCACTTACAGAAATGGATAGATCATCTAGCCACACGGTCAATAAAGAAACAAGGGCCCTGAATGAGACATTGGATCAGATGGACTTGACAGATCTATTTAGAACTCTGCATCCCAAAGCAACAGAATATACTTTCTTCTCGAGTGCACATGGAACATTCTCCAAGATAGATCATATACTGGGTCACAAAACAGCCCTTCATAAGTTTACAAGAATTGAAATCATACCATGCATACTTTCAGACCACAATGCTATGAAGCTTGAAATCAACCACAGAAAAAAGTCTGGAAAACCTCCAAAAGCATGGAGGTTAAAGAACACCCTACTAACGAATGAGTGGGTCAACCAGGCAATTCGAGAAGAAATTAAAAAATATATGGAAACAAACGAAAATGAAAATACAACAATCCAAACGCTTTGGGACGCAGCGAAGGCAGTCCTGAGAGGAAACTACATTGCAATCCAGGCCTATCTCAAGAAACAAGAAAAATCCCAAATACAAAATCTAACGGCACACCTAAAGGAAATAGAAGCAGAACAGCAAAGGCAGCCTAAACCCAGCAGAAGAAGAGAAATAATAAAGATCAGAGCAGAAATAAACAATATAGAATCTAAAAAAACTGTAGAGCAGATAAACGAAACCAAGAGTTGGTTTTTTGAAAAAATAAACAAAATTGACAAACCTCTAGCCAGGCTTCTCAAAAAGAAAAGGGAGAGGACCCAAATAGATAAAATCATGAAAGAAAATGGAATTATTACAACCAATCCCTAAGAGATACAAGCAATTATCAGGAAATACTATGAAAAATTATATGCCAACAAACTGGACAACCTGGAAGAAATGGACAAATTCCTAAACACCCACACACTTCCAAAACTCAATCAGGAGGAAATAGAAAGCTTGAACAGACCCATAACCAGCGATGATATTGAATCAGTTATCAAAAATCTCCCAACAAATAAGAGTCCAGGATCAGATGGCTTCCCAGGGGAGTTCTACCAGACGTTTAAAGCAGAGATAATACCTATCTTTCTCAAGCTATTCCAAAAAATAGAAAGGGAAGGAAAACTTCCAGACTCATTCTTTTTATAATTTTTTTTAATGTTTATTTATTTTTGAGACAGAGAGAGACAGAGCATGAATGGGGGAGGGTCAGAGAAAGGGAGACACAGAATCTGAAACAGGCTCCAGGCTCTGAGCTGGCAGCACAGAGCCCGACGCGGGGCTCGAACTCACGGATCGCGAGATCATGACCTGAGCCGAAGTCGGACTCTTAACCGACTGAGCCACCCAGGCGCCCCTTCCAGACTCATTCTATGAAGCCAGTATTACTTTGATTCCTAAACCAGACAGAGACCCAGTAATAAAAGAGAACTATAGGCCAATATCCCTGATGAATATGGATGCAAAAATTCTCAATAAGATACTAGCAAATCGAATTCAACAGCTTCTAAAAAGAATTATTCACCATGATCAAGTGGGATTCATTCCTGGGATGCAGGGCTGGTTCAACATTCGCAAATCAATCAATGTGATACACCACATTAATGAAAGAAAAGATAAGAACCATATGATACTGTCAATCGGTGCAGAAAAGGCATTTGGCAAAATTCAGCATCCTTTCCTAATAAAAACCCTCGAGAAAGTCGGGATAGAAGGAACATACTTAAAGATCATAAAAGCCATTTATGAAAAGCCCACAGCTAATATCATCCTCAATGGGGAAAAACTGAGAGCTTTTTCCCTGAGATCAGGAACACGACAGGGATGTCCACTCTCACCGCTGTTGTTTAACACAGTGTTGGAAGTTCTAGCATCAGCAATCAGACAACAAAAGGAAATCAAAGGCATCAAAATTGGCAAAGATGAAGTTAAGCTTTTACTTTTTGCAGAAGACATGTTATTATACATGGAAAATCCGATAGACTCCACCAAAAGTCTGCTAGACCTGATACATGAATTCAGCAAAGTTTCAGGATACAAAATCAATGTACAGAAATCAGTTGCAATCAACAGTTGCATTCATCAGTTGACAAATAAAGAAACTGATCCCATTCACAATTGCACCAAGAAGCATAAAATACCTAGGGATAAATCTAACCAAAGATGTAAAAGATCTGTATGCTGAAAACTATAGAAAGCTTATGAAGGAAATTGAAGAAGATATAAAGAAATGGAAAAAACATTCCGTGCTCATGGATTGGAAGAATAAATATTGTCAAAATGTCAATACTACCCAAAGCTATCTACACATTCAATGCAATCCCAATCAAAATTGCACCAGCAATCTTCTCGAAACTAGAACAAGCAATCCTAAAATTCATATGGAACCACAAAAGGCCCAAATAGCCAAAGTAATTTTGAAGAAGAAGACCAAAGCAGGAGGCGTCACAATCCCAGACTTTAGCCTCTATTACAAAGCTATAATCATCAAGACAGCATGGTATTAGCACAAAAACAGACACATAGACCAATGGAATAGAATAGAAACCCCAGAACTGGACCCACAAACGTATGGCCAACTCATCTTTGACAAAGCAGGAAAGAACATCCAATGGAAAAAAGACAGTCTCTTTAACAAATGGTGCTGGGAGAACTGGACAGCAACATGCAGAAGAATGAAACAAGACCACTTTCTCACACCATTCACAAAAATAAACTCAAAATGGATAAAGGACCTGAATGTGAGACAGGAAACCATCAAAACCCTAGAGGAGAAAGCAGGAAAAGACCTCTCTGACCTCAGTCGTAGCAATTTCTTACTTGACACATTCCCAAAGGCAAGGGAATTAAAAGCAAAAATGAACTACTGGGACCTTATGAAGACAAAAAGCTTCTGCACAGCAAAGGAAACAACCAACAAAACTAAAGGCAACCAACAGAATGGGAAAAGATATTTGCAAATGACATATCGGACAAAGGGCTAGTATCCAAAATCTATAAAGAGCTCACCAAACTCCACACCCGAAAAGCAACTAACCCAGTGAAGAAATGGGCAGAAAACATGAATAGACACTTCTCTAAAAAAGACATCCGGATGGCCAACAGGCACATGAAAAGATGCTCAACGTCGCTCCTTATCAGGGAAATACAAATCAATACCACACTCAGGTATCACCTCACACCAGTCAGAGTGGCTAAAATGAACAAATCATGAGACTGTAGATGCTGGAGAGGATGTCGAGAAATGGGAACCCTCTTGCACTGTTGGTGGGAATGCAAATTGGTGCAGCCGCTCTGGAAAACAGTATGGAGGTTCCTCAAAAAATTAAAAATAGACCTACCCTATGACCCAGCAATAGCACTGCTAGGAATTTACCCAAGGGACACAGGAGTACTGATGCATAGGGGCACTTGTACCCCAATGTTTATAGCAGCACTCTCAACAATAGCCAAATTATGGAAAGAGCCTAAATGTCCATCAACTGATGAATGGATAAAGAAATTGTGGTTTATATACACAATGGAATACTACGTGACAATGAGAAAGAACGAAATATGGCCCTTTGTAGCAACATGGATGGAACTGGAGAGTGTGATGCTAAGTGAAATAAGCCATACAGAGAAAGACAGATACCATATGGTTTTACTCTTACGTGGATCCTAAGAAACTTAATAGAAACCCATGGGGGAGGGGAAGAAGGAAAAAAAAAGAGGTTAGAGTGGGAGAGAGCCAAAGCATAAGAGACTCTCAAAAACTGAGACCAAACTGAGGGTTGATGGGGGGTGGGAGGGAGGGGAGGGTGGGTTATGGGTACTGAGGAGGGCACCTTTTGGGATCAGCACTGGGTGCTGTATGGAAACCAATTTGACAATAAATTTCATATATTGAAAAAAAATAAAGTCATCTACAATTACCGTATTATTATCAGTAAGATTGCTTATGTTTGTGATTAATTTATAAATTTGGGTTCTACCAAGTTGGGGGCATAAACATTTACGATTGTTATCTCTTCTTGATGGATAGGCCCCTTAATTATGACAATGCCCTTCTTTATCATTTGCTACCATCTTTACTTTAAAATCTAGTTTGTCTGATATAAGTGTGGCTATTCCAGTTTCTTTTGACTTCCAGTAGCATGATATATGGTTCTCCATCCCCTCACTTCCAATTTTCAGGTGTCCTCAGGTCTAAAATGAGTCTCTTGTAGACAGCATATAGATGGAACTTGGTTTTTTATCCATTTTGATACCCTATGCCTTTTGATTGGGGCATTTAGCCCATTTACATTCAGAGTTATGACTGAAAGATATGGATTTAGTGTCATTGTGTTATCTGTAGGTTTCATGATTGTGGCAATGTCTCTGGTCCTTTGTAGTCTTTGCAGCATTCCACCCACAGAGTGCCTGCAGGGTTGGTTTAGTGGTCATGAATTCCTTCAGTTTTTGTTTGTCTGGAAAAGCCTTGATCTGTCCTTTCATTCTGAATGACAGCCTTGATGGATAAAGGATTCCTGGCTGCTTATTTTTCCTAGTCAGCACATTGAATATTTCCAGCTACTCCCTTGTGGCCTGCCAAGTTTCAGTGGACAGGTCTGCTACTACCCTTATGTGTCTGCCCTTGTAGGTTAAGGCCCATTTGTCCCTAGCTGCTTTCAGAATTCTCTCTTTATCTTTGTATTTTGCCAATTTCACTATGATATGCCTTGGGGCTGACCTGTTTCTGTTAATTCTGAAGGGAGTTCTCTGTGCCTCCTGGACTTGGATGTCTGCTTCCTTCCCCAGATTAGGGAAGCTCTCAACTATAATTTGGTGAAATAAACCTTCTGCCCCTTTCTCTTTCTTCTCTTTCTGGAACTCCTATGATACAGATATTATTATATCTCATTGAATCACTTAGGTCTCTAAATCTCCCCTCATGGTCTAATATTTTCCTCTCTCTCTCTTTTTCAGCTTCATCATTTTCCATAATGTTATCTTCTATTCACTTATTCTTCCCTCTGCTCCTTCATCCTTGCTGTCTCTGCATCTAGTTTATTTTGCATCTCATTTACTGCATTTCTTAATTCATCATGACTATCTCTTGTGTCCTTGATCTCTGCAGCAATAGATTCTCTGCTGTCTTCTATAGTTTTTTCAAGCCCAGCTCTTAGTCTTATGACGATTATTCCAAATTCTTGTTTAGATATATTGTTTATATCTGTTTTGAGCAATTTTTCTGGCTGTCATTTCTTCCTAGAATTTTTGAGAATTCTTCTGTCTAGTCATTTTGTCTAGTTTTCTGTCTTTTATGTGTTTTAATAGTTTGTTATGTGTCCTGCCCCTGTGAGTACTACTGTGTTAAAAAGGGGTCATATACTATCCAGGGCCTGACCCTTCAGGAGGTGTTTTTGTAGTGTGTCACATGCTCTCTGTTGTTGTGACTCTGGTTGCTTTATACCGCTACTCGCACTGGTGGTATGGACCTTCCACCAGGCGTGCTTTGATTTGTTCATTGAAGTAACCCTGGAAAAAATTAAAAAGGGGAGGGGGTGGAAGAAGCCTTATCCCATAGAAAGAGGGAAATGACAGGGGCAGGGAAAGAGAAAAAAAATTGAGCGGACAGAGAATCAGAGAAACTATATGGCTTAATCTAGAGAGAGAGAGAGAAAAATAAAGAAGGAGGAGATACAGAAGAGGTGTAAAATGCATAGATTAAAAATGCCTGCTTACACAACTTAACAACCAGAATAGAGAAGGGAAGGAAGAAGAAGAAGGAGAAAAGACAAGAAAAGAAAATATGTATTACCAAAAATCAAATCAGAAAATGAAAAACTGCCGGACCGTTGTCCGAAGGTGCCCTGGAGCCAGTGGTTGTGCTGGTCTGGAGGAGGGACCCTCTGGTTGGGTAAGTGGCAATTCTACCTCCAGCAGATATGCAGTTGCCAGGCATGGTGAGGCAGGGTTTGGTGTAAGCAGTCCAACCTCCCCTGGGGGCCTGCCGTCCTGTTCCCTGAAGCCCCACCATGTTGGTGATTGGAGGAAAATGGCATCATCGCAGTTTCTCCTCCCTAGACCAAACCACCCTGTTCAGGCAGCCCTCACAGCACAGCACAGGCACGATCTGGTCAGTATGTCCCGCTCCACAGTCTCCTGCACCTCCCAGGCACTCAGCTGGGATTCAAACCCCAACATCTTAAAGGATCCCACTCCACACACCCGGTTCTGGGGTGGCACCACTCTGCCAAGCTGACACAGGGCCTCTCAAGATAGAATCTTAAGCAGGATCCATGCCCAGCACAGAGCCTGATGTGGGGCTCCATCTCACAACGCTGTGGTCATGACCTGAGCTAAAATCAAGAGTCAGACACTCAACTGACTGAACCAACCAGGCACCACTCTACCCGAGTTCTAATCTTAATTCTACCACATACTAGCTATGTGACTTCTTTAACCTCTGTGCCGTGGTTTTCCCATCCATAAAATAAAAATAATAGAGTTGATGTGAGAATTAAATGAGTTAATAAATAAAAATTATTTAAAACAGTACTGGCACATAGTAAACCCTCAATAAATGTGAGTAATATAATAAGTATTATTGTTATTACTTGGCACAGACAAGTCTAGAATTATAATTGAGATGCCTACTTAAAACCAGGGCCTGGGTGGCTCAGTCAGTTAAGCGTCAACTTCAACTCAGGTCATGATCTCTCAGTTTGTGAGTTCGAGTCCGCCATTGGGCTCTGTGCTGACAGCTCAGAACCTAGAGCCTGTTTCGGATTGTGTGTCTCCCTCTCTCTCTGCCTATTCGCTGCTCGCACTTTGTCTCTTGCTCTCTCAAAAATAAATAAACATTAAAAAAAATTTTAATACAAAACAAACAAACAAACAAAAGACAGGGCCCAGCTTTGCACAGTGGCAGTATCATAGCCAATGAGGTTTATCCGAGGCGCGATTATTGCTAATTGAAAACTTTTCCCAAAAAAGACAGGGCCCCGGAAAATCTTTCCATCTGAAAATTATTAATAAAAACACTTTAGTCACCTTTTTAGGAATTCAAGAAGAAAGGCTGTTCTCTGCCAGAGGTATGGATAGAAGGAATAAAATCTCCAATGATAACCTAAATCCCAAGGCCATCATGTGTGAGTGTCAGGTTCCAAATCAATTTATACAATACATAAATCTCAAAGAATTAATATAAAACTGTCACCAGGGCACCTGGGTGGCGCAGTCGGTTAAGCGTCCGACCTCAGCCAGGTCACGATCTCGCGGTCCGTGAGTTCGAGCCCCGCGTCAGGCTCTGGGCTGATGGCTCAGAGCCTGGAGCCTGTTTCCGATTCTGTGTCTCCCTCTCTCTCTGCCCCTCCCCCGTTCATGCTCTGTCTCTCTCTGTCCCAAAAATAAATAAACGTTGAAAAAAAAATTTTTTTTTTAAAAATAAAACTGTCACCAGCTAATATTTTTATGGAAAAAAACTAAATTGGATCCCAATTTCACTCTAAACATAAAAATCAATTTCAGGTGAATTAAAGACTTAACTATGAAAAAGAAAAACTTAAAAACTTTTAGGAGAAAATATTGGGAAATATCTTAACGTCCTCAAAATAGTGACAGGCTTCTATTTTCCTTTTAAAGGCTAAGTTATCTGCTAAATGTGAGACGGGCTAAGGTTGGAGTAGGAATGGAAGTTTGAGAGAATGGAGATTGTTAATTAGTTATTTCAGAGAGTAAAAGAATAAACTAACTGGGAGAGGGTGGGAACCACATAATTCCTAGGTAGTGCTGAGGGCCACCAGACACTGATGGTCAAGATTTCAAAGTGTTCAATCTGCTGAGCTATATGATTTTCTCTAGAAATGATGTCAGCCACGAGGAGAAGCCAGGGTTGGGAGTTTTGTCAGACAGGTGCAACCAAAGTGCAATTTAGGGTACTGAAGACTTTAGGGTATTCGAGGTACACAGACCAGAGATTTTCAAGTGGATAAGGAAGAAAAGTGAAAACAGGGAGACTGGTGGGTAAGGACAAAGTTGAGGGATAAATGGATAGAAGGTCCCAATGAGGTATACAGAACCAATAAGCTGTCTGGTGAAGAAATGAGCAGCCAGATGAAGAAAAAAGGAAAGCAGTGAATATAAATGTGCAATATTTAACAACAAGAAAGGAAATTTAACTATAGATATGAGTAAGATAATATACTATACAACTCTGTGCTAATAAAACTTTTTAACTCAGAGTGCCTGGGTGGATCAGTTGGTTAAGCATCCTACTTCGGCTTGGGTCATGACCTCGCTGTTTGTGAGTTCAAGCCCCACCTCGGGCTCTGTGCTGACAAGCTCAGAGCCTAGAGTCTGCTTAGATTCTGTGTTTCTGTCTCTTTCTGCCCCTCCCCGGCTCGTGCTCTATCTTTCTCTGTCTCTCATAAATAATAAAAATGTTTAAAAACAAAAACAAAAACTTTTTATCTCCATGAAACTAAAATTCCCAGGATAAATGAAGTGACTAACAATGCAAATAATCTCTTCATCCAATTAATCTATTATGTTCCACCTTGTATAGAAAACAAATTAAATTGATTTCTAGTGTAAGGTAAAATAACTGTTACTTAAAATGCACTATTACCCAATAGCTAAGCACAAAATAACAAAATACTACTTTTCGCTTCAATTTTTAAACTAACTTCACTCCATTTAAAATATACATATAGGACCTTATATTTCTTTACAGTGAGCTTCTGAGTGGCCAAGACTGTCTTTCTCATCTTAACAGCTCATCAGCTTAACAGAAAGCATATATAACAATGGCTCAGTAAATATTACTAAGTAAATTGGAAGATGGAAAAAAATATATAAACAAATGAAAGAGGAAATTTTGCATATGAGTACTCAGCGCTAGTCACTAGATGGCATCACTTCCCCAAATTGGGAAGACATTTTACATCTTCCAAAAAGGAATTTTATATACACGGTTCTAGCTCTTTATAGTAAGTGTGAGGATAAACAGTAAGCTCGTAAAAACTTTCAATTCATTTGCACGTGGAAGTGCTCGAGATTTAGAAATCATGAACAGAGAAGATTGAAACCAAACATCAGCAGTAAGCCAGGCATCTGTTTGGCTGATGACCTACAGGATGACTGCCTCTTTTAGTCTACTACACTCTTCTAAAGTTTGTCACACCAGTTGGTCCACTAAAAGCACAATATATGTTGGGGTGGGTGGCTCAGTCGGGTAAGTGTGTCCAACTCTTGAGTTCCGCTCAGGTCACGATCTCATGGTTTGTGAGATCGAGCTGTGCACTGGGCTCTGTAACTGACAGTGTGGAGTCTTCTTGGGATTCTCTCTCTCTCCCTTTCTCTCTCTCTCTCTGCCCTGCCCCTGCTCTTTCTCTGTCTCTCAAAATAAATAAATAAACTTGAAACTGTAAATAAAAGCACAAAATGTGATGTTCTTACATAATTTTTCAGAGAAGCGTTCCGTATTGGTCATCATTGTATCAATGAAATCTTTAAAATTCACTTTTTTCGTTTCTAAGGAGAAAAGAATATTTTCTTCAATATCTTCAAATGTTAATTATGACAACTATTGAATCATGTAAAATAAATTACAAGGAGATAACATGATTATAGCCATCAGCTAATACCACTAAAAATATATGGTTCTAAGAGGAAAAAGCAATTCAACACACAAGGAGAAAGTAAAACTGAAAAATGCCAGGAAAGTTAATCAAAATCCTTCTAGTTACAAGCGCACAACATTTTTAATTTTAACTTACATTATCTTGTCTTGGCCTGACAACAACTCAAAGATATGTCGGTAAAGAATTAGTGTATTATTTTATACATTTTAAAAAATACTTAGACATGATATTGTGATTTTTTTCCCCAGGTCACAAAAGGAAATACGAGATCAGAGATTAGAAGTGAGCTTTCTTGACCTCTGGTTTCTCCCACCTCAGGCTACCATTCACATTGTTATCTTTATTCCAGTATACTTTTGAAACTATTAAACGTTTTAATAGTCATTCTATACTTAGAAAATGTCTTTCCTTGATTATATATAATATCCCAATATTAGAATGGATAAAGATTTCTAAGAATTTTCTAAGGCCGCATATAAAGATTTTATATAAATAGGATGAGCTTTTGATAACACTACTCCTTTGTTTATCCCACTAAAAAAAATCAAATTCCAATTCTAATCTATAAAAGATAAGGCACAGCCTATTGCCTATTTCCAAGATAAAGAATCTTTGAGAAGTTTACTTTAAGGAGCACCAAATTACTTTGTATTCTTAACCAAATATTTAAAGACTTGAAAAAAATGAGACTTTGAAAAATTCTAGGGGAATGTTAGAGTTAATGAAGATTTACATCCACTAACAGGAACATATAACTTTCTAAAGCAATAGATTCCCTATTTTTGATAATGTCTATTTGATACACAAATGTTTTAGCTGAACCACTGAACCCGCCTCCCATCTGAAGAACACTATTGTTTTAAGGACAAAATTACTTTTTAAAAATTTTTATTATTTTTTTAATATAGTTTATTGTCAAATTGGTTTCCATACAACACCCAGTACTCATCCCAACAGGTGCCCTCCTCAGTGCCCATCACCCACTTTCCCCTCTCCCCCACCCCCATCAACCCTCAGTTTGTTCTCAGTATTTAAGAGTCCCTTATGGTTTGCCTCACTCTCTGTAACGTTTTTCCCCCTTCCTCTCCCTCACAGTTGAAGAACATTAGTAACACCACTGCATCTGCTTCTGTGCTTCCCCCATTCTATTCTACTGCTTCTTTACAGAGAGAATATTGCTGAATTTTTTAAAATTAACCAAGGTCTTGCTTTTTTACATATAATTTTACACAGGATAAACAAAATATTCCTTAATTTTGTTTTACAGCTCTCTAAAAATTATCACACTATAGCAATCTAGACTTGCTTTTTTCATTCAATATTATATTTCCAAGAACCATTCATATAGTATATTGCTATAGTTCATTTTCACTAATGTACACATTATCAGTATTTCATTATGCATCAGTGGTAAATACCACAATTTATTTATACATTCTATCACCGATCATGTTGTTTGTTTTTGTTCATTCTTTCCTTCCTTCCTTCCTTCCTTCCTTTTTCTATTAAGATCAGAGCTGCTATGAGCATTTTTAACATGTCTCCTTGCACATCAGTGCAGAGATTTTCTGGGATGTATCACTAAAAAATGGATTTTCTAAGCCATGAAGTATGAAAACCTTACAGAATACTACATAATGTTTTTCAAAGTTCTTTTACCACTTTTGCCTTATTTACCAACAATTAAATTAACAGACCTTAATTTTTGCCAATTTGGTCAGCATCAAAAGGTATTTCATTGTGACCTAAATTCTGCATTTCCCTGATTACTATGATGTATAAAAAGACTTCATATGATTATTAGCAACTTACGTTTCTTCATCTGGCAATGGCTGTTCTTGTAATTTGGCCATTTTTCTCTTGGGTTGTTAATTTATAGGGGTTTCCTATTTATTCTCCACAATGATCTTTTGCTGTTATGAGTGTTACAGATAATCTTTACTCTGGAATGCCTGGGTGGCCCAGTCGGCTAAGCATCCAACTTTGGCTCAGGTCATGATCTCACAATTCATGAGTTCAAGCCCCGCTTAGGACTCTGTGCTGACAGCTGGGAGCCTGGAGCCTGCTTCAGATTCTGTCTCCCTCTCTCTCTGCTCCTCCCCCACTCTGCACCTCTCTCTCTCTCTCTCAAAAATAAACATTAAAAAAAATTTTTTTTAAATAATAATCTTTGCTCCATTTGTGGCTTGTATTTTCATTCTGTTTGTATTACCTTTTAATAAAGAGAAGTTCTTATTTTTAATGTAGTCAAATGTATAAATCTTTTCTGGTTAGTGATTTTGTATCTTAAAAATAATTCCTTGTAACTCTAAGTCAGAAAATTTTTCTTCTTTCTCTAAAGAGAATTTTAGTGTTCGTATCTGGAAAGCATTACTGAATATGATACATAGGTAGGGATCCAATTCTATTTTTTACATTTGAATAATTAATTATTCCAGCACCATTTATTAACTGGTGCTTCCCCTCCCCCCCAGTAATCTGCCACCTCATTATATATGTTTCCTTATATGCGTGTAGATGTATTTGGAAGTTACTTATCCTGTCCTATCAATTTCTCTATCCCTGTGCCATTTTCACACTGTTTTACTTACTGTAACTTTATAATGAGTCTTAATATCCAGGGTAGCAAGATCCCTCCAACACCACTCATACACCCTATCCACATTTTTCTTCCTCAAGAGTGTTTTAGCTATTCTTGATCTTTGTTTATGCATACAAATATTAGAATTAATTCATCAAAAAAGTCAGGGTTTTATTAGAATTGCTTTAGATAAGTAAATTAATTATGAGAATTGGCAGACTTGGGGGTCTCTGAGTCCATTAATATGGGACATATTCCAATTTATTTAGGTGTTCTATAATGTCTTTTAACAAAGTCTTATCATTTTCTCACGTAAGGCACATAACTTACATTTGTTCTATTCCTTTTTTGCTTTTCATTATGGAAAAATTTTAATACACACAAAATAAGAAATATATTGTAATAAAAGTTCACATACTCTTCCTGTACTCTTCACATACTCTTCATGGCCATTCTTATTTCATCTATAGCCCCACACACGTGTCTATCTCACAACCACCCTTTCTCTTTAGAAAAGATGCTGCTAAGTTATAAGGGTACAGATACTCAAAACTAGTACCTTCCTTATGAATTATAGACTTTGGCATAATAAAGAGTCGTTTGTCCCATTTAACGACTTTTGTCCTGACCTCTTCCTTGTCAGAAAGCAAAACCACAACCTCTACTTTCTTTTTGTTTGTACTTTTGCCTATAGGAAAAAAGTGTCTGGAAAGACTGTTAATACTGGATATTTCTGGATCATGGGATTTTGTGTGTTTTGTTGTACTTTTGAGTATTTTTCTGTATTGACTTCATTTTAATGGACTTTTTTCTAATCAAAAAAATAAAGTCATTATTCTGAGGGAAAAAAAATAGCAAAGTGACCATCTTTTCACATGTGTCAACCCAGTTTTCACTTACTGTCAGCTTCAGTCAACTCTGTGATCTTCTCAAATTCTGGCTTAGAAAGGTAAACTCCAAAATGCTGAAGACAAGTATTCATATCCTCATAATCAATATTTTCATCTTTAATTTTATCAATGGCTTTAATGACATCAGTCAACACTGAAAATAAAGCAGTATGCCAATGAGTATTAAATATAAGTCAAAAAGAAAACACCAATAGTAAGATGAATTTTAGTTCTAACACTAAATAAACAAGCATAGAAAATAACTTCAGAAATGTTATATATGAAAAGAATTACCAGAATCTTTAATACTTAAAACCAACAAAGTACAAAATGAGAGCCAAAAATATATTCTACTTTGCTATCATCTCTGTATCGAAGGAAGTGCCAATTTAATTGCAATTTAAGTGCACAGGAACAAAAATATTATACAATTTCCCCATTTAATTTTCTAACAATTTAAACTTTCTTAGTAGTCTGTTTCTCGGTAGCAGATACAGAAATAAGTAGAAAACTTTCAATCTTGAATAATGAATTGGGGTAAGGTTTTGTAGCAATACATGGCTCAGTCCCTGGTTAATCTTTTATCTTCTGTATACATAAATATTATCACTTGGAAATAACTGTCCCACATGTCTTTTTATGATACTTTGGAATATATGCTTCACAAATTTGGGCAGTATTCCCTCTATTAAATTTAAACAAATTTTTACTGTAATGAAAGCGTTAATGTTTATTTTTGAGAGAGAGAGAAAGGCACAGCATGAGTCGGGGAGGGGCAGAGAGAGAGGGAGACACAGAATCTCAAGCAGGCTCCAGGCTGTCAACACAGAGCCAGACATGGGGCTCAAACTCAGGAACAGCGAGATCATGACCTGAGCCAAAGTGGACCCTCAATCAACTGAGCCACCCAGGTGCCCATGCAATAAAATTTTCTTAAAATAACTTACAAACACATAGAATTGTTAAGGGGGTCGACAGGTATGCATGCGGGTGTGTTTTTGTGTAAATTTTGGAACAAACTAAACTCAAATAGATTTTCTCTAATAGAATATTAGGATAGGTAAAGTGAGGAAGCTGGGCAGTGGAGGGCATTAAAGCCATTATCAGGAGTTAATCAACTTTAGGCAGTCACTGGACGTCATTATGGATTACTAAACAAAGAAATGATCAAAATGATGTCTGAATTAGATGATTCTTAAAATGATTCTTTAAAAGGTAATTTTTATGTATAAATATGTAGAACAAGATATATGATACTATCTTGTGAAAGGACTTTTTAGATGAAAAAAATTCTCACTTAAAAGTAAATAGCTGATGGGGCACCTGGGTGGCTCAGTTGGTTGGGCACCTGACATCAGCTCAGGTCACGATCTCATGACTCATGGGTTTAAGCTCTGTGTTGAGCACTGTGCTGACAGCGCAGAGCCTGAAACCTTCAGATTCTGTCTCCGTCTCTCTCTGCCCCTCTCCCACTCTCGTTCTCTCTCTCTCTCAAATATAAATAAACATTAAAAAAATTTTTTTAAAAAGTAAACAGCTTGTGAGTGATGTCAGTAAGATAGTTAAGTAGAACGCCCTGGACCCTTCTTCTCCCCACAAACACACTGATTCAGCAGAAATTAAAAAATAAATTCCTTTTGTGAGAAATTAGAAACTAACTGACAGGCTCTTGTATCCCAGGAGAATGCAAAACAAGACGTACTGAAGCTGGTACAGACATTTGGGACACCCTCCCACAAGTGCTGCCTCCAATGCAGCACCATATGATCCAAAAAAAAAAAAAAGACTCTAGCTCCCAGCTTCACCCAAGGGGAAGAAGAGTTTGGTCCACATATCCAGAAATTCAGCTTTTCCAAAATGCCTCCCCAGAAGATTGGCTTCTGTTTTGCCAGCCTTGGAGCTCTGATGGGTCTAGCACAGTCTAGTATTTGGGGTAGAATAAAGCAATGGCTTGGGCTGGTAGAAGGCAGTGATCCTCCCCTCTGTTCAGCACAGGATGAGATTAAAATTCCCAGCTCTTAGTTTCCTCCTGGAGAGGTAAAGAGTTTACTCAGCACGTCAACTTTTTCAGGGCGTCCCAAAGAACCATCAGCTATCTTGTCAGTCCTAGAGCCTGGGGAAGGAAAAAGGTGGTAGAGGCCTAGGGCCTATCAGGCTGGGCCGATGGGTGGGAGTCTTCTCCTGTATAGGGACAGTATGTGAGGACTGGGAGAGCTGCCTGCTTTTTCTCTTGCACAAACACCAACACAGAAAGTCCAAATGGAAATTTAATGACTAAAAAGTATGATGACTGAAATTAAAAGTTCAGTGGATGGACTCAACAGCTGAAAGGAGGAGAGACAGGTAAGAATCAATGAATTGAAAGCAACGGAAATCATCCGATGAACAACACTGAGAAAATAAACTGAAGAAAAAATCAACAGTTCCAGAGACCTGTAGGAATATAAAAATGATCTAACATTTGTGTCCATCAGAGTCCCAGAAGAAGAGGAAGAGACTTAAAAAGGCACTCAAAGAAATCATGCCTGCACACTTCCTAAATTTTTATCAAGAGACATTAACCTACAGATCCAAGACAAAAGTGGACCTCAAACAGGATAAATCCAAAGAAATCCATGTCAAGATCCATCATAATTAAACTTCTGAAAACTAAAGACAAGGGAACATTTTGAAAGCAGCCTAAGAAAAACACTTTAGGGAAAGAAAACCAATTTGAATGACAGGATTTCCAGCAGAAACCATGGAAGCCAGAAATAAGTGACACAATATTTTTCAAGTGCTGAAAGTAAAGAACTATCGACGTAAAATCCCATATTCAGAAAAACTATTCTTCAGGAATGAAGAGGAAATCAAGATGTTCTCAGATGAGAGGAAACTAAAAGAATTGGTTGCCAGTAGGCCTAAGAATGGATAAAGGAAGTTCTTAAACAGAAAACAAAGGATAAAACAAAAAAAACTCTGGAATATCAAGAAGGAAAAAAGAAAATGGTAAGTCAAAATATGGGTAAATATAGTAGGCTTTCCTTCTCTTGAATTTTTTAATCAAGTCTGATGGTTGAAGTAAAAGTAATACCACCTGATGTGGTTTTAAATATATGTAAGGAAATATTTAAGGTAATTATATCATAAAGGAGGGAGGGATGTATATGGAGATAAGGCTTCTGTATTTCACTTGAACTGGCAAAATGATGACACCAATAGAGTGTGATAAGTTATGTATATATACCTGAAGCAACAACTTTAAAAGGTATACAGAGAGATATACTCTGAAACACTATAGATAAAGCAAAATGGAATTCTAAATGTGGGCCAAAGATTTGAATATATATTTCACCAAAGATATATGAACAGCTGGTAAGCATGTGCAAATAAATTTGACATTATCAGTCATTAGGGAAATGCAAAATTAAAACCATAATGAAATTCCGCTACACAATTATTATAATGATTATAAACAAAAAGATAATACCTACATGTGGAGGATAGGAAGAAACCAGAATCCTTACACACTACTGGTGAGAATGAAAATGGTAGAGCCACTTTGGAAAACAGTTTGGTAATTTCTTTTTTTCAACGTTTTTTTATTTATTTTTGGGACAGAGAGAGACAGAGCATGAACGGGGGAGGGGCAGAGAGAGAGGGAGACACAGAATCAGAAACAGGCTCCAGGCTCCCAGCCATCAGCCCAGAGCCTGACGCGGGGCTCGAACTCACAGACCGCAAGATCGTGACCTGGCTGAAGTCGGACGCTTAACCGACTGCGCCACCCAGGCGCCCCAATAAGATTGCTAGTTTTTTTTTTTTTAACATTTATTTATTTTTGAGACAGAGAGAGACACAGCATGAACGGGGGAGGGGCAGAAAGAGAGGGAGGCAGAGAATCGGAAGCAGGCTCCAGGCTCTGAGCCATCAGCCCAGAGCCCGACGCGGGGCTCGAACTCGCGGACCGCGAGATCGTGACCTGAGCTGAAGTTGGACGCTTAACCGACTGAGCCACCCAGGCGCCCCGGTAATTTCTTTAAAAGTAAAACATAAATTTACCATACACACTAGCAATTATTCTCCTAGGAATCTACCCAAAAGAAATGGAAACATGTCCACAGAAAGACTGCAATGCAAATGTTAATTTCAACATTATGCATACCAGTCCCAAACTGCAAATAAGCAAATGTCATAAATTGGTGAACCATCAACAAAATGGAATATACCTATAAAATGTAATATGGACTTATTTAACCATACAAAGGAACAAACCACTGATACATACAACAACATGAATTAGCCTCAAAAAAGTGAAGTCAGGCACAAAAGACCACATGTTTTATGATTTCATTTATATTAAATGTTAAAAAAAAAAAAGGCAACTTTATGGAAACAGAAAGCAAATCAGTGGTCGCCTGGGAATGGAGGTAGAGATTAACGGTAAATGGGCACAAGAGAATTTTAGGAGTGAAGGAAATGTTACAGACCTGGATTGTGTCCACTTCTGATTATATATCCCAAAGAATTGAAAGCAGGGGCTCAAAGAGGTATTTGCATACCCACATTCACAGCAGCACTAGTCACAATTGCCAAGAGGGTGTCTATTAATGGATGAATGGACAAACAGAATGTGGCATATACGTGCAATGTAATATTAGCACGAAAAGGAAAGAAAAATCTGACACGTGCTACAACATGGATGAATCCTGAGGGCATTATGATAAGTGAAATAAGCCATTCATTCATAAAGACAAATACTATATGATTTCACTCAAGTATCTGGAGTAGGCAAATTCACAGAAACAGAAAGTAGAATGATGGTTGTCAGAAGCTGGAGAGGCACAGATGGGTAGTTGTTGTTCACTGGGTATAGAGTTTCAGTTTTGCAAGATGAAAAAGTTCTAGAGATTCATTGTACAACCGTGTGAATATACTTAACCCTAATGTTCTTGAACTGTACAGTTACAAATGGTTAAGATGGCAAATTTTATGTTACGTGTTAGATACCACCATTAAAAATAAATTTTAGGGGCACCTGGCTGGCTCAGTCCAAAGAGCATGAGACAATTGATCTTAGGGTTGTGAGTCTGAGCCCCATGTGGGGTGTAGAGATTATTTAAATAAATGAAACGTTAAAATAAAATAAATTTTAAAAACAGTATAATGGGGGAAATGGGAGGGAGGAGTCGGCTACAACCAAGACACTACTTCACAAAACAGCAATGAAACGGTGACTGAGTTCGTGAATGAATGATTACAAGGTAAAGCACTCAAGAAATTTGCTAATAGTGTCTTTAAGAACACCACTTAAGCAATTCATCATAAGTGACAAATTATAATGGAGATTTTTTTTTTAAAGTTTATTTATTTTGAGAGAGAGAGAGCACACAGGGTAGGGGTGGAGAGAGAAAGAGAGAATCCCAAGCAGGCCCTGTGTTGTCCACAAGAAGTCCAACACAGGGCTTGAACTCACAAACTGTGAGATCATGACCGGAGCTGAAACCAAAAGAGGGACACTTAACTGACTGAGCCACCTAGGCGCCACAATAATGTAGTTTTTAACATGAGACTTCATGTAAGTATAAGAGAAAAATCTCTTCCTTTGGATTAATTTTTCTCTATCTGAGAAATCCTTTGGGAAGACACAAAAAGCTTATCTTTCCTTTTCAGCATATGAATAAACAAAAGGAAATAAAAACACCAAGGCTTAGTATCTTTCATTTCTCATGTTAATCTTGCTGAAAAATATTTAATTATTTGCATAAAAACCCAAAATCATTGCAAGCAAAAATTTTTAACAAACTGATTGTGGTGTTGATTGTATGACTCTATACATTTCATGAAAATTAGTGTGTGAGTGAGTTTTATGTATGTAAATTATAGCTTAATACAATTTTTTTTAGAAATGTTCTAAAACAAGGGAAACACAACCAGTATTTCATTCAAACAAGTTCCTTATAAAAAAATTAAAAATCAAATCACCCATCCATTGCTAAAAATGGGGCTAATCCCCTATTGGAATTCCTCATTACCTTACTCTACATTTATGTAGTACTTTACAGTTTTTAAAATCCATCTAACAATTCTGTGAGGGAAGCAAGTTAGCTATCACTACCCTAATACATCAAGTTTTCATGGCTTGCCTGAGAATTTCAGAACTATTAAGTACCTACCCAAAAAGCAAACTCAGTTCAGTTGAACCTCTTTTCAACCTAACCACTTCTTTCCTCCAAATCATTTTAAAATAAATTTCCTACCTACCATCACATTCAGGGAGACTTTCCTCCTTGGAGAGAGCGCTCATAAAGTCATCTAACTTCACCATTCCATTTCCTGTAAAATAAAGACTTTAGATCATGCATTCTTTATATTTTTGCATAAAAGGTAAATTCATAGTTTCATACAACTATGAAAAAAAAATTACTTCTTCACTTCATCATAATTCTATTTCTCCTTTCATATCCTGTCTCTGAATTAGGTCAGTTCGTTTCATTTTGATAATTACTCAATAATTTTTAAATACCTATTATAAAGTGCAATGGACTGAGCTAGGTCCTCAATTTTTGATAGATATAGGAAAAAGGAAAGGTGACCATATAGATGGACCATGAGAAACTTAAGGAGTCTATTTCATACCATCATGAAAACCCAGTCAAAATGCTATCCATTAAGACACCTTGACAATACTGACCAATCCTGACAGACCCAAGTGTCCCCATTACTATCAGCTGATCCAATTAACTACCTGTTTTTAGATATACACCCTCCACAGTGATCCTACCAATCCTGATAAGCAACATGAAAGGGCTCAATAATTTTAGTAGCACCTACACCTTAGATTTTTTTTTTTTTTTAATCTTCTTTCCCATTTGCCTTAGCTAAGAAATTTTGCTCAGGTTCTAAGAATTCATTTCTAACATATTCCCAAGTCAGTCTTTCCCCAAAATGTTGCCTCTGCCCTCTCCTCAGCTGAACTTCTGTTGTGGATGGTTCTTACTTAATGATAAAACAACTTCTCCAATACAAAAGCTCTTCCTGGAAACTTAAAATCTGCCTTGAACTTAGGCTGGTGACTGGGATATGCTATTTAACATCTAGATGCTAATCATCTGCCTTGATTGGTTAAGTATCATTAGCCCTAAATTCCTAGTTGTAGCACTTCCTTACCATTTTGGAATCTCCAGTTATTTCTTCTTGGATGCTTAGGCTATTTGCTCAGAGATTTTTGTACCCCTTGGATTTTGTGCTCTTATTGCCTGAACCTCCCCACAACTGGGTCAGCCTTTCCAGTACCTGTCCCATATGGGAAGGCATAGCTAGGGATAGTGATAGAGTGTTACATAACAATTCTGAGCTATAAAAGGCCTAGTCCCTCCAAACCAATCCATTAGGGCAGATTTTCCAGGAATTTTTTTTCCACTTTCCATTTTTATATCTGTTCTTTTAGAATCTTCTTTAGCATGGCCCATGTTCCATTCCTAGTTGAGAACTTACTCCATCATTTAATACTATCCCATAAAAGTATCTAATTTTTTCAAAAAGTTTGGTATTATCAGTCTCACCATTTTGAGCAGTCTTTGCCACAATCTCCTTGAACTCTTTGTCTGATAAAGTAACTCCTATTGAAGGCAAAATGGACTGAAGTTCTTCTGCAGCAATGTAATTTTCTTGGAGTTTATTGATAGCTTCACAGATGTTTTCTAAATATACAAAATGTAGAAGACTATTCAGCCACAGAATTTATGTGTCTTAAGCAATAATTAGCACCCAAAGTCTTTAGCATTTAGAAAACAAGTTTTATCTAATTATTATTACCTCATATGACTGCTTTTTTCTTCATATTTCTGTTGTATCTTACATTATACCTAAATATTTCCCATATAGCTCAAACAGAAAACAATCTTGAAGTTCTATAAATGTTTATAAACTACTTGTTTGGAGGAACAGCCTGTTCCAGTGACCCAGCCAATGCTGCTTGGTTCTGATTAAAATATAATGAACGAGTTCAAGAGATCACAACAACAAAGTGTTTAGTTTAAATTCCAGGATTCCAAGCAAACAATGAGAGTTCTTCCCCTTCCCATCATTTTAGGCTACCATGTTTTCAGTTCACAATCTTCAAAATCATAAAATCTTCGCAGGAGATACACATGGCCATCGTGAGTCCCCTAATATCATGCACTGAGATAGGCATAGTATCACTTCTCTGTAATTCCCACCAAAAATGCATAACCTGAACTTACGAAGAAATATAAGGAAAACCCAAAATGAGGGACATTTTACAAATTAACTAGTCAATACTCTTCGAAAGTGTCATGGTCATGAAATTATCCTAGATCAGAGGAGACTAAGGGACACATGACAACTGAATGTAATGTGTGATCCTAGATGAGACCTTGAACCAGGAAAAATACATTTATGGACCAATTGAAAAAAATTGAATAAGATCTTCAGAATGTATATAATATTGTATCAGTGTCAATTTCCTGATTTAATTCACTGTACTGTGATTATACAAGATCTTAATACCTGGGAAAACGAGATGAAGAGTATATAGAAATGTCTTTCCCTTTGTGTAATTCTTATGATTTAAAAATTATCATAACAATGAAAAGTTAAAAATGTTTTTAAAATGTATATCCAATGACAGTCACATTTCAGAAATGTTCAATTACCATCAATTTATCTTGAGAAGTTATACCAGATAAACTATTTCACACTTCTCTTTACAAAGAATATTAAGTATGGCAAAGGTTGGCGACACCAGCAAGATAGATAAGCGCTTTCTTCCACAGGCTTCTTCTACCCAAGGGCTAAATGCCTACTACTCCACTGTTCCTTTAACAAGGGTTTTAATCTTACTGGAATATAAAGAACTCAGAATTAGGAATGAGGCACAGAGTAATAGTAGTGTATCAGTAAAGGAATCAGAAAGAACATTGTTGTGCCTCCTTAAAAGAGCACATTTTCTGTTCAACTGAGTTGTTTAAAATATGTATTACTGTGTAAGAACCACTAGTATTTCACTAAGCACTCATTTTAACAATTACCTTCAATATTAAATGCAATAAAAAGATACGTTTCTTTCAAGAAAATAAACAGCTTAAGTAACTTCAGCCAAGGACTATAGGAAGGAGTATTTAATTAAGTTCCACACACAGGACTTCTGTGATAGAGGTACCACGGAAGGAGGAAACTATATATTGGTTGGAAAACCTTGCTCATCTTTGAGAAAGACCATAAAGCCCTGGGGACCCAAACTGTAAAATAGTAGTTATTTTATCTTTCTTCATATTCCCATGTCCAAAAGAGATGATATCTGAAGCATTATCATATCATATTGGATATGGATATCATATATTTAAATTATGGAACCTGAACAAAAATTTCACATAGACTCCTTACATATTTAGTTTAAAAATTATAAAACAAGCATTTCCAAAAGAAAACAGGCCCTCTATTTCTAGGGAACTTGAGTGAGTTGGATTAATCTCTGAATAAACTTCTTGGTCAAAGTTAGGCATCTGAAAAAGAGAACACAACCATCTGAAAAGGCACAACTTAAAACCACAGTGTTATATACACTGGTCTATATACCAGAAGTGGTGATTACTCAATAGTATTGACAAATGAAATGCAAACAACTGTCTAATCAATGGTTAATTCAGCTTGTTTCTGTGATGACTCAGGAACTCAAGGACCTATATTTTGACTTACATATATGATACTGACCCAGAGCATTCACTGCAATCTTTTCTTTCGACGAAACCTGTTTTAGGAGGCTGGAATGCCTTCTCACAGCTGGCTTCTGAAGTTTGGGGGTACTAAAATTATCACTTTTAACCAGAGACTTTTTGAGGCTTGTAATGCTCTTCAAGCTATGTGACGTAGACTTTGAGTCATGAATTTCAATCTTCTCTGAACTTTTCTTAAAGTTTATGCCATCCTTTGAATATGGTTCCCAGAATCCTATATCACTGCTATCAACCCCATTTCGGAATTTTTTTATTTGCAAAGGATTTTTTGATCTTTTAAATTCAAGGTAATCATCATCCTCCATAATTTTATGATATTGGAGGTGTTTTCTATTTAACTTTGGGAATAATGATGGTTCATGTAGTCTGGAAGAGAAACTGCTTTTCATCCTATACTGTGGATAACATTCTGATATATTTGATAACTTTCTGTTTGAAGTAGATTCATCCAAGGCTGATGATTCCATAACTGCTAAGCAAGAGAAACATATTTAATAATTCTATTTACCTGTACAATTTGTAATGGTTTTTAAAAAGTAACAACTAAGTCCTCATGAAAACTATTCAAGAAATTATCAATTGCTTAAATAAACAAAGTTTAAAAAGTTAAATAAGGTTAATATGTTGAAAAACTAACAGAGCTGATAACTAAGACTGAAATATTAACTACGTTAAATATAATCTTCTGGTTTAATATATTTAAATTCTTTTATCCAAAGCTATTTGAAGTTACACCAAATCAAAAGTGATAGCCTACTGAAGTTTGTAGTTCTCATTCCCCACTCTGCCAATTTTGAAAGATTATAGGCTAAATATGCCAATACAGCTACAACTCCCTTAGTTATGAGCATACTGAAGTATAAGGAAGTTGGAGTGGGGAAATTTTTATTTATAAAATCAGAATACAGAGGCACCTGGGTGGCTCAGCTCGTTGGGCATCCCACTTCGGCTCGGGTCATGATCTCACTGCTCATGGGTTTGAGCCCCACATTGGGCTCTGTGCTGACATCTCAGAGCCTGGAGCCTGCTTCAGAATCTGTCTCCCTCACTCTCTGCCCCTCCCCCACTCACGTTCTGTCTCCCTCTCTCTCAAAAATAAACATTAAAAAAATTGTTTTTAATTTAACATCAGAATACAAATATTTACTCTCCTAAAGATTCTCAGTACTTGTGGGAAAAAATAGTTTGTATATAAAATAACCTCTTCAGAAAAATATTAATACAATGTCCCACTGGGGCTTCCTTTATAAAATTCATCTGACGGCTCAGAATAGTATCTTACATTTGAATAACACATTTTAAAGTATTTCAAATGTTATAATACTTGATTTTATGATAGACTATTATTCTCCTCTTAGAAGTTTAAAATATGTTTGATCATTGAAGGCAAAACTTATAAAACATTGTCTGAAGTTTTCAGTGTGTATAGTGGTAATACATAATAAAATTACAGCTTAACGGAGGGAGGGTAAAAAGATCTATATAATGGTTAAACTTCTATATTCCACTTGAAGTGGTAAAATATTTATTCTAGTATACTAGAAAAGGTTAAGTATGTATACTATAATCCTTAAAACAACCACTGGAAAAATACAGAGATATAGTGAAAATACATATAGAATAAATTCACATACTAAAAAAATGGTCCCCAAAAAAGAAGCAATAAAATGGTTGAAAAACAGAGTAAAAAATAGAAAACAAATAATAATATGGTATACCTGGTCTGAATGTATAAGTAATTACATTACATATGATTTAAACACTCCAATTAAAATATAGGAATTATACAAATAAATACAAAAAACATCACCCAACTCTGTGTGGTTTACAAAACACTTCAAGACTGGTGATATAAGAAGGTTAAAAGTAAAAGGATGGAAAATACTTACCATCTAAGCACTAATCAAAAGAAAACTGGAGTTATATTAGAATCAGAAAAAGTAAACTTGAGAGAAAAGAAAATTACCAGTGATCACATACATATTGCATAATGATAAAAGAATCAGCTCACCAAGAAGATATAACTATTCTAAATGTGAATTCACCTAGCAACAGAGCTTCAAAATGCATGAACCAAAACCTGACAAAACTGAAAGGAGAAATAGACAAATCTACAATTATATTTGGAGACAATGTTCCTTTCTCTATAACAGAACTAGTAAAAAAATCAGCAAAGATACAGAAGAATGAATAACATGAATTATTATGCATGGGAGTGGGTATGTGATTATTAGGAATATCTATGTCAGAAAAGAAAAATTAATGAAAAAACTTCTACATCAAAGACAAAATTAGAATTCAAAATAAACTTTGAAACGTTCAGGTAATAATAGCAAATTGAACAGCCTTCAAACACTCCATTTAAACTAAGGAATTTTGGGGATGCCTGGGTGGTCCAGTCAGTTAGGTGTCCAACTTCAGCTCAGGCCATGATATCGCGGTTTGTGAGTTGGAGCCCCACATCAGGCTCTGTACTAACAGCTTGAAGCCTGGAGCCTGCTTTGGATTCTGTGTCTTCCCCTCTCTCTGCCCTCCCCGGCTCGCTCTCTCTCTCTCTCTCTCAAAAATAAACTAAAGGAATTTTTAAAACATCACAAATCCATAATAACAAAAAGAAGAGGAAAAGAAACTACTACAGGGGCGCCTGGGTGGCGCAGTCGGTTAAGCATCCGACTTCAGCCAGGTCACGATCTCGCGCTCCGTGAGTTCGAGCCCCGCGTCGGGCTCTGGGCTGATGGCTCAGAGCCTGGAGCCTGTTTCCGATTCTGTGTCTCCCTCTCTCTCTGCCCCTCGCCCGTTCATGCTCTGTCTCTCTCTGTCCCAAAAATAAATAAACGTTGGAAAAAAAAATAAAAAAAAAAAAAAAAAAGAAAAGAAAAGAAACTACTACAATTAAATTTTGGAATCTGGAAAGCGGATGAACTTAGTAGACCTGAAAAGGCTGAACCATAAGGCAGAATGGGGAAAGCCAAGAAGCAACCCAATTCATAACACAAAAACTCCAAAAGCTCATAAATTAGTAGCATTTAGGTACCTCTAAAAGTGAGGGTAAGAGTGAAGCTAAAAAGAAAGAACTGGTTAAAATCCCTTTAAGTAGTAATTTGATACCTAGGGTTTCTTCACACGGCCAGATATTCACTTTTATCCACTGGGCACAGCCAGTTATTGATCTTCTCCTACTCCAGCAGGAAAGTGACAATTCATCAGAAAGGGTTAAACACAAGGTCTCTGGATTATGGAATACTAAACACAATAGAGGGTAGGAGCATTACCTGCAAAACTCGGAGGGAGGCTTACACTGAATAATGGGAACTTCAGTCTTTCGTCTTATTTAACACCTGGAATTCTATGAAGCAAGGCTATACCTCCGGGAAGGATATTCAAAGTTTCTTTGAACACTCTGACCATCTCAAAAGGAAATATACCCTAAATACAGTCATATTAAGGGTTTTCCAGGCAAATAGCCCAGCCAGACCACCCGATAGCAGGATTTCTCAATCTCAGCAGTACTGGCATTTTGAGATAGATACTTCTTTATTGAGAGAGCTGTCCTGTGTATTGTAGGATACTCAGAAGCATCCCTGGCTTCTCATCACTTGATGCCAGTAACACAGATTGTGATGACCAAAAATGTCTCCAAATGTTTCCAAATGTTCCTGGGGGAAGGGGAAGTTCGGGGTGGGGGGTGGGGGAAATCTCCAAATCATCTCTGGTTAAGAATCACTATCCTACAGCTCATAATCAGCTAGTTTTGCCCTCAGTCTCAGAGCTTCCAAATAGCTTTTGAGTTCACCATTCTCAAATATGAGTAGACAACCAAAGATCACCAGACATTTGAGGAACACTCCTAAAATGAAAAACAAACAGAAAAAAATACCTTGGAGGAGACAGAATATGAATGAAAAAGGAAATCTCGAAAGCATTGCAACAGAAGTTCTTAGTTGCAACAGAAGATATTGTTTGTGGAACAATAGAAATGCCCATGAAATAAGAGGAGGCTATTATAATAAAATAACAGAGGGGAAAGAAATTATTGGAAATTTAAAAGTACAAATGAAAAACTAAATAGAAGCATTGGAAGATAAATTTAAGGAACTCTCTCAGAAAACATAACAAAGAGTGGCACCTGGGTGGCTCAGTCAGTTAAGCATCCGACTCTTGATTTCAGCCCAGGTCATGATCTCACAGTCGTGAGACTGAGCCCTATGTTGGGTTCTGCGCTGGGTGTGGAGCCTGCTTAAGACTCCCTCTCCCTCTCCCTTTGCCCCTCTTCCACTCCCACTCGTGTAATAAATATAAATAAATAAATAATAAATAAATAAAGCATAACAAAGAGATAAGAGAAAAAGGTTAAAAAAAAAAAAAAGGAATCATCCCATTATGTCACATATCCAAATATCAAGATTTCCACAGAGACAGAAAAAATAGAGGAAAGGAAATCATCAACAAATTATTTTAATTTTCCAGAATCAAAGGACGCTGTATTCAGCACAATCGTTACAAAGAAACTTCTTTCCAGGAGACTTTCAGAAGACTAGAAAATATCCTATATGCTTGAAAAAAAAAAATCAGTGTCAAAGTCAAGAGTCAGAAAATTTTGCACTTCAGTGGCAATACTGAAAACTAGAAAACATAGAAAATTATTTACAATCTAGAATTCTGTACCCAAACTATCCATAAAATACGAAGACAGAATCTGTCATAGGAGGAGAGAAGTGAAAAGTCTCCAGCATGTTAATGAAGAAAGATCTCAAGATGACAGTTGCACACAAAATGTAGAGGGCAACAAATTCATACTGAAGAACATCAAAATACTCTAAAGAAGATTTCTTCAAGAAGACAAAACTACTAGAATACCTTGTGCAGACAAACTTACGAAGAGGATATTTAGACAGTTGGCAGAGTTTAAGCTTCAATCAGTAATATATATACTTTTTTTTAAACCAAGCCAATAAGTAAGAAAGACAACTCAAAGAGGGAAAAATTGTACAGAAAGAGAAAGTAGCCACAAGATACTTACATGTGGCTCAGCAGTGAATAGTGTGTACATAAATATATTAACATAAATACAGAATTAAAACTTACTCAATTACCTTATGACTATATTAGGAGGATGGATAGGTATGGGAAGTGGATGTGGTGGGGACAGGGAAAATGAAACAGAGCTAAATCCTTATTTTTCATATTAGGGAGTTTACTAGGTCTAACCAAAATTTAAAAAAAATCAACAAGAAGCAATACAAACATGTTATTTACAGTCATGAAGACAAATATCAGGTAATCAGCTAAAATGTTTGCCTCTGGAGAAACTAAGGAAAGGATCAGCCAAGAGGCTGCTCTATTTGTAGCAAGTTTATTAGAACTATATAGTTCTTTTTTTTAATCTTTTTTAATCTTTATTTATTTTTGAGAGAGGCAGAGACAGACTGTGAGCAGGGGAGGAAGAGAGAGAGAGGGAGACACAGAATCCGAAGCAGCTGAGGATCTCACGAACCGTGAGATCACGACCTGAGCTGAAGTCAGACGCTCAACCAACTGAGCCAAATTGAGCTTAAAATTATACACATAGATAATCTTGACCAAAGGATGCCCGGACAGAGAAAGAAAAGGGAGTGACACCATGTGCAATAGGAAGAGATTTTTAAAAACGTACTTAATGAAGAAAAACAAAACTAATCATGAATGATATTGAATAATATACTAAAAACAATTTTTAAAAAATGTTTTAATGTTTATTTATTTTTGAGAGAGACAAAGCACAAGCAGGGGAGGGTCAGAGAGAGAAAGGGAGACACAGAATCTGCCTCAGCCTCCAGGCTCTGAGCAGTCAGCACAGAGCCTGATGAGGGGCTTGAGCTCACGGACCATGAGATCATGACCTGAGCCGAATTTGGACATTTAACTGACTGAGCCACTCAGGCACCCCTATATTAAAAATTTTTAACTGTCAACGTCAGGATGTCAGAATGACCCACAAGTTGCAAATTACGCTTTTTTTCTTAGTGTTATTATTTTCTTTTAAAGTTGACTTCATGTTGCAAAATATTAAGGGAAAGATAAAAGAAAATTATGGTAGTTACATAATCAATACTGATTAGGTATGTTTAGGATTTAAAATTTATCTAAAGAGTTAGAGTAGGGGCGCCTGGGTGGTGCAGTCGGTTAAGCGTCCGACTTCAGCCAGGTCACGATCTCGCAGTTGGTGAGTTCGATCCCCGCGTCAGGCTCTGGGCTGACAGCTCAGAGCCTGGAGCCTGTTTTGGATCCTGTGTCTCCCCCTCTCTTTCTGCCCCTCCCCCGCTCACACTCGGTCTCTCTTGCTCTCAAAAAATAAATAAAACATAAAAAAAAAAATTTTAAAGAGTTAAAGTCATGGGGTCAGAGAAGGCTTTCAGAGTCCATATGATAAAACCTACAAATTAGGATTTAATTTAAAGGCAATTTATTTATAAATAATACTTGCTGTAGCAACAAGAGCTCACTTACAAAAATCTTCATACTGGTGCTGTAGTTCATCCAAAATAAATAGAATATCTCTAATATCCACCATGTGGTTACCTGTAATAGAAAGAGTAAGTTCAAGTACTGTTATTTCTTTTTTGAACACAAATCTAGTTTCCATCCCATTCTAATACAAAAACAACACAGAGATGTGTGAAAGTAGGAACAGAGGTTGTGAATAATATCTAGAATTGTTAATAGCTCAGTACACACTGAAACATAAAAGACCATTATTTTCTTTTTCCCTTAATAAAAGAGTTTCCCATCAAAAGAAATTAGTCACATTTTAAGCTCCACAGCTAGGTAATCAGGTTAATATTTCATTCATTTAATAAATAGTGTTTTGAGAATCTACTATAGGTAGAATTTCAAGTTTTAGCTCTTTTGTCTTTCTCACTGGATTGTGAGCTCTTCAAGAGTACAGGATGTCATTTGTTTCCCCAATGCCTAGCAAATTATATACTTCCTAGCACTTAAAAACTAATTTTGGGGGGGGGGGGGCGCCGGGGTGGCGCAGTCGGTTAAGCGTCCGACTTCAGCCAGGTCACGATCTCGTGGTCCCTGAGTTCGAGCCCCGCGTCAGGCTCTGGGCTGATGGCTCGGAGCCTGGAGCCTGTTTCCGATTCTGTGTCTCCCTCTCTCTCTGCCCCTCCCCCGTTCATGCTCTGTCTCTCTCTGTCCCAAAAATAATAAACGTTAAAAAAAAAAAATTAAAAAAAAAAAAACTAATTTTTTTTGAGGGGCACCTGAGTGGCTCAGTCAGTTGAGTGTTTGACTCTTGATTTGGGCTCAGGTCATGATCTCAGAGTTCATGGGTTCAAGCCCCACGTTGGGCTCTGCGCTGACAGTGCAGAGCCTGCTTGGGATTCTCTCTTTCCCTCTCTCTGTGCCTCTCTCCCACTTGCACTGTCTCTCTCTCAAAATAAATAAATAAACTTTAAAAAAATTATTTTTTAAAAATTATTTTTGATAAAACAGGGAGGGGGACAAAACATAAGAGACTTGTAAATATGGAGAACAAATTGAGGGTTACTGGAGGGGTTGTGGGAGAGAGGGTGGGCTAAATGGTTAAGGGGCACTAAGGAATCTACTCTGGAAGTCATTGTTGCACTATATACTAACTAATTTGGACGTAAATTTAAAAAAATAAAAAATAAAATTAAAAAAATATTTTTGAATGAATAAATATACTAAAGGCTGTAAAGAATCATGCAATGTCTACATTGTGGATAGCAGTAAACCATTTACTTAGCGTCTTACACATGTACAGCACTCCCATAATTATAACTTCCTACCATTCCTGCCCTTGCCTCTGTCTAAAACCATTTTCCTTCTTGGACAGTGTATGACAGAGAATGGGGTCAGAGACAGTGACCTCAAATAATGTTGTTCCAATTGGACACCCAATAGTTCTTGCCTCCAAATGTCTGGCTTCGCTTGACATCCAAGGTGAGAAAGACCAGGTGTTGACTTACCTACTTATAAAAATACTAGGTTTGTTCTTCAGCCTATGCCTAAAAAATCAACTATTCAGTTATAAGCATAAGCAAAGACCCTGAAAAGAAGATGCCAGTTTTTAATGTGCCTTTTGAGTCCAAGAATTATTATATACACTATGGTTTTGGTGTTGGGTAAGATTGATTCATTCTGCTTCTTTGAAAATTGGTAAGCTATGTCAGGTCCAGGACTTTAAATCACTGCAAAGCAAGTAAGTATTTGACCCAACCAAAGAAGTGCTAGACCAATTGATATTAAGTTGTCTTCTGATTAGAACTGCTTCTTACATTCTGGGGTTTTTTTTTTTTAATTATTTTTAATGTTTATTTATTTTTGAGAGAGACAGAGACAGAATGCAAGTGGGATGGGGCAGAGAGAGGGGGAGACACAGAATCTGAATCAGGTCCCAGGCTTTGAGCTGTCAGCACACAGCCTGACGTGGGGCTCGAACTCACGAGCCATGAGATCATGACCTGAGCCGAAGTTGGACGTTTAACCGACCGAGCCACCCAGGCGCCACTCTTACATTCTGTTTTTTTATTTTCTTGGTATTTATTCTCATTCTGTTCTTGATTGTGGTTCTAACACCCCAGTGAACTTCTGGAACTTTTGTAGATAGAGTCCATATCCCAAGTTCTTAGATCAAAGCATAAGTCCTAAAATAATTCAAGGCTTCAGCCCTCAAACTCCTGAATTTGATCGGTGAAAAGTATTCTGTTGGATCATCCATAAATTAATCCAATGGAGAAGGCTGTATTGTTTATATCTGGTCTCTACTTAAAGAACTCCCCTTTCTGGAAAGAGGTCCAACATTGACCAGTGAGCATGCAGTAGCCAACCATTTACAGATTTACTAGCTCTCGCTCAAATTTATTCCTTCTTCTATGCAATGATAAACACTTCTCACACACCTCTAAGACAAATACTATCCATTTATATAGTCTCTGGTGGCTAAATAAGCATTACAGAATCTGAAATTACTATTTTGACCCCTACCTAGCTTATCAAAACCTCAATGAATAATTCCTGGTTGAGACTGAGACAATCAGTATAGTTACAGGTAGCATTTACTTCATAAGAGAAGTTCAAAACAGCTTCCCACTCTTACATTTGTCCTTCTGGAGGAAGCTCATATTGGAACTTTCCTTTCCATTCAACCTGGAAAATGTAACTATCTAATGTGAAAAAAAATAATCCTCATCATCAAAGTCATATTCAAGGCAACATTACTTTGAAGGTGTAAAATGACTATTAACACATTTCCATAATCTCCACAATAGCTCCACAATATCAAAGACCTTCTCATCAAAAATCGTGCTAGTTACTACTTTTCACCCAGTTCAATTACTAGATCGGTAAATACCACGAGAGAAAAAACTACTGCACCAATATCCTATCTCAGAAACCAAACTACCAGAACTGTCACACAGTGATTTTCCATATTCCTCTTGCCAGATCTTAATGAAGCAAATGCTTGTTGGACTTCCTTGCAAATTCCACCGGCATTCCTCTTCATCATGCATACTCATGAAGATATTCTCCATGTTATCAGTATTGCTCCAAAAAACCAAACCAAATACAAAAACAAGATGTTAAAACAGTACCTATACCAGGGTGCTACGGCTTCCACTAGTGGGATAACTGACTTATATCACTCCTTACTTCAAAATTCTGTCACAGAAGACTCCATATCCACTACCGGGGTAACCCAAAACTTTTGGCATTCTGAGGGTGTCCTTTCCTTTAATGTTTAAGTAAAATAGCCCCGACCCCACACCATACATCATATGAACAGCAGTCAATACTCCCTCCAAAATTTGAAGATTCCTGAGTGTTTTATACTCTGGCGGTTGATTTTCGTTTTGTTTTCTATTCCCATGGACTCCTGATCTCTCTCACATTATCACATCCTATAGATGCTATCTTCTCTCCACCCAAGCCTACCTAACACAGAACCTACAGACCTTTTTCCTTGAAAAAGAAAATAGAGAGACCCACCATATGAATAACACAAGGCTATTGTATATAACCAACTCTTACTAGATAACTTGAAATTAATGAGAGTCAGGGATTTCTTTATAGCACAGCAAGCACTACATAGTATTGTCCTAGAGTTCTACAGCCACTCTCTATTGATTGCTAGACCCCCATCCACTCTCAGGTTCCCTCAGTGTTCCTCTTCCAGCTGCCGATTAGCCACTGTTGTATTCTAAGTTCCTGTTGTTTTCTTATATAGAGTACTTTACCTTACCTTTTTGCTCAAACTAGGTATCTCCCAATAGGCTTTAGCTCTCATAATCAAACATACCTGTTAAAATGATTTTCCTAGTCAAAAGACAAGGACCTCCCCTATGAGGAATTTTACCTTAAGTCACAACCAGGTTATTAAAAATGACAAAATGAAAAAATCTTATTCTCTCTGGTTGGAGGAGATGGAGTGAAGGATGAGACTTATTAATTCATTCAACATATATTTGTTGAGCAGTTAATATGTGCCATAAGCACTGTATGGAGTACTGAGGATACAATATTGAGCAAAAGTACACATGATATCTGCTTTCTTGGTATTTAGTCTTATTTGAGATACAGATCTTCACAAAACAATAAGAAATAGGGGTACCTGGGTAGTTCAGTCGGTTGGGCGTCTGATTTTGGCTCACGTTGTGATCTCGTGGTTTGTGAGTTCGAGCCCCGCATTGGGTTCTGTGCTGACAGCTCAGAGCCTAGACCCTGCTTCAGATTCTGTGTCTTCCTCTCTCTCCCTGCCTCTCCCTCACTCACACTCTATTTCTCTATCTCTCTCAAAAATAAACATTGAAAAACTTTTTTAAAAATATAAGAAATAAAAGTTGCAACTGTGATTAGTACTGTGAGAGTGTATGAGAACTTGACCTAGTCAGAAAAGTCATGGAAGCATCCTTAAAGAATAGAGTTGAGTTTAGATCCAAAGTATAAGTAGTAATTCACTAGGAGGGGAAGAATGCTCCAGGAAAAGAAAAGAATATATGTAAAGGCTATGGCAGGAGGAAGCCTGGTATATCACTGAAACTCTAAGAAGGCACAGTAAGCAAAGCAGAATGTGGTCTGAGATGAAGCTGGAGATCTAAGGTAAAGGCCAGACATTGCAAGTCCTTGTACGTGACCTTAAAGGGCTCTTCATCCCAAGAAGTATTATTAGAGTTTATGCAAGGAGGTAACATGATCAGATGTGTGGGGTTTTTTAATTTTTTTATTATGTTTATTTATTTTTGAGAGGGGAGGAGGGGCAGAGAGAGAGAGGGAGACAGAATCCGAAGCAGGCTCCAGGCTCCGAACTGTCAACACAGAGCCCAACATGGGGCTTGAAACCACAAGCCTGAGACCATAACTTGAGCCAAAGTCGGACACTTAACTGACTGAGCCACCCAGGCGCCCCACAGATGTGTGTTTTGAAAAGATCATTCTGTCCATAGTGTTAAGGGGGATAAGACTGGGTGTGGGTGGGGCACCTGGGTGGCTCAGTCGGTTGAGCGTCTGACTTCGGCTCAGGTCATGATCTCACAGCTCGTGAGTTCGAGCCCCCCGTTGGGCTCTGTGCTGACAGCTCAGAGCCTGGAGCCTGCTTCGGATTCTCCCTCTCTCTCTGCCCCTAACCCACTCGCATTCTGTCTCTGTCCCTCTCAAAAATAAACAAACATTAAAAAAAAAAAAAAGACTGGATGTGGGTGGGTGGACTTGTTAGGATGAACAGTGATGGTCCTAAGGAAAAATTATGGTAACTTGGACTAAGGTAATGGTGGAAAATAGAGAGATTTAAGAGATATCTAGAAGTTTAAAATAATAGTAATTCACAACGGTTGCATGAGGAGAACAGAGAAAACAGAGTTGCCAAGGATAATTCCCAGGTTTCTGCTTCCTATTTCTTGAGACTATTCTAGTGCCAATAGGTTCTATTTAATTCCTACAACAATCTATGAAATCAGCATAATTTTTCAGTTTAGCTCCCCAAGTACAAAGCCTGGAAATCCAGACCAGAATTCCAGAAGCCAAAAAAAAAAAAAAGCCACAGTGGTTTCATATGTAATTTCTGTTGCTTCTGGTAGAGCATGCCCTAAAGGCTATTTAATAATATGACTTGAGATTAAGCTTTAAAATCCCTATTTTATGGGCATCTTTATGCTCCAGAACATCCCTCCACTTATGTCTATCACCCCAGAACTCACCATAAATGACTACCTACTAAAATCCATGCAGCCTGGTTCTATCTTCACACCACATTCCAGCCACCAAAGACCCCCTAAAAGCCACCACTGACAAATGACAAAAACCTGTGGAAGCCCATGGAAAAGGATGCCATGTCTGATAATGTTCCTGCCATATTTACACAAACTGTTCCCTCAGTCTAAAATGTCTTTCATTACCACCTTCATTACCACCTTCAACCAACTAACCCCTATTGATCCTTCAAGATTTAGCTCAGACATCACATTCTCTGATGATCTTTCCCTGGTGTTTCCAGTATACATTTGCAGCCTAACTACATTCTATAACAGTATTTGCTATACAACATTATAATTTTCATTTTATTTGACTCTTTCCACACTAGAATGTGAACTCCTTTGCAAAAAGAAATGTGTTCTATTCATCTCTGTATCACCTTGCATAGTTCCAAGCACAGTAGATATTAAATGACTATCTGACTCATTAAATACATGGATAATCAATGAATCAATCATTTATCAATCCATTATTATCAGACACCCCCTGGTGACATATAAACATATAATACAAAACATCTGCTAAATATATCCATAATGTTTTTTAAAAAATCTACATTTTGCAAAGAGTAACTGAATAGCATGAGAAGATTGTGTAATCAAAACTATCTAATAAAGTTAAAAATTCAAGAAATTTAGGTCTCCTAATTTGTGAAGCCAATGCCCTTGACATTAAAGAAACCATCTCTCCACAAACAAGAAATGGAAAAGAGAGGAAAGTTTGAAAAGAAAATAAATACATTTTTCTCTTACATTTTTATCAAACATACCAAAATCTAATAATTTTAGAAATTTCTCATTTAATTTTTCTAGACTATCTCTTACCACAGACACCAGTAAGCAATGTTGATAGGTGGCAAGAGGTAAGAATCAAGAAGGAGAGATAAAGGATGAATCAGCACACTGATATCCAAGAAAGATATATTTACATAGTAATTCAAATAATTCACCGTCTATACTAGCATGTTTTATCACTTCCTGAAAAGTTTCAGGAATTACAGGAATATCCATGCTATCCAAAACAGCAGCCAGTTCATCAGTCGCAACTCGACCACTTTTTATCCTACAGAAAATCTTCAAGGCATTCTGGAATGCTGTAAAAATATAATAAACAAAGAAGTTATTTTATCATGAGAATCAACAGCTTTTCTTGGAGGGGCTGATTTTGTGTCAATAGCCCACCAGGGTACAATACCTTTCCATAGGCATAGGGTTTTCTAAAAATGTACCTGCAAGTAGGCATTTGCCCAATTCTGACCACATTCCTAATATAAAATGTAATTTTTGCTATTATCACTACTGATACAATATTAGCGATGATAGGTGGTATTTATTGAATGCTATTTATGTGCCAAACATTGTTCTAAAAAGCTCTGGATTATCTCATTATACTATATTCACCGCTTAGTTAAGCCTTGTAACTAAAATAATTTCGTATCTATCAGTGGTATAATCTATAATAGCAAGGCAGCTTGATCTAAAATTTGAGGGCATCATTAATTGTTTTAAAATGTAATTTAGAAAAAATAGCGTAAAAGAAAGAACAGAACAGATGCAAAATTTCTCTTCAGATTTTTTTATATTACAAAGAGTTTAGCAATGGTTTAACCACTATTTAAAGGTCTTCTATTTCTCCATAGAAACTTCATTTTCTTACGCTAACAGTCCTTAACATCAAAAATGAATTGGAAAGATTTGCAACAATATGGATAGAACTAGAGTGTATTGTGTAAGTGAAATAAGTCAGTTAGAAGAAGATAAATATGTTTTCACTCATATATGGAATTTAAAAAACACAACAGATGAACATAGGGGAAGGAAAGGAAAAATAAGATAAAAACAATAAGAGACTCTTAAATACAGAGAACAAACTGAGGGTTGCTGGAGGGGAGGTGGGTAGGGGAATGGGCTAAACGGGAGAGGGGTATTAAGGAGGGCACCTGTTGGGATGAGCACTGGGTATTATATGTAAGTGATGAATCAGTGGGTTCTACTCCTGAAACCAATACTACACTGTATGTTAACTAATTTGACTTTAAATAAATAATTTTTTAAAAATGAATTGGAAAGAACACAGTTAAATGAAAATATTCATATTAATGAGAGAATTTTCCCTAAACAGATGTCCTCCTTAAAATCTAAACAGATTGATACCTGTGTCCTAATGCTAAATTTAAGTGATCCTCAGACTACCGCACCCCTTAATTTGATAAGGAAACACAATTCCCATAATCCACTTCAGAGAGCGAATCACTTTTTGTCAGACTACATTTTCTCGGAATTCAGGATATAACGAGCCTACTGATCCACAAGTTCTTAGATTTGCACAGTCATGGAGGAAGAACTGGGCATTATTCACTCATCCAACCAACCAGTTGTTATTGACCAGGCGAGCAAAAGTAGCAGAGGAAGGACCTCTGAGAATCCTCTCCATAAAAGCTGTGAGAACACGGATGCAAACTGTCAGAATCAACTTTTTTCAAAACTCTGGCTATAAATCAAAGGCTTAGAGTCATCCAAAGAGTGTTTTCTTTCAGAAAAACGGCTGAACCTCAGTAATAGTGAGCTTTGTGGCATTTTAGCTTGCCATTATTCCCATCTTACCATCCCAGCTTCCCAGGAGCCTTGAAAACTAAGAGCCTACCCTCATGATGAAAAACAGCAGCCTGACAGCCAATGGAGAAGAATGAGTTTGGAACTTCTTCAAAGCCCCATTCTCTAAGAGCTGTCATTATTAGACCTGCCTTGTGGCTCCCTGGAAGACCCTACTTGCCAAGCTGCCTTATTTGACCGGACTCAAAGCTTGCCCAAGGCAAAGAGCCTTTTCCCTGGAAGTACTCCTCAAACACAATCAGAGGCAATTAGTTAACATTATAACTGTCTGAAGTGGTGGGTAATAGTTGGAGCAAGCACTGGATGTTACATGTAAATGATGAAGCACTAAATTCCACTCCTGAAACCAGTATTATACTATATACTAACTAATTAGTTTAAGTAAAAACTTGAGACAAATGAACAAAAACCAGTCAGATTCAGGAGCCCTGCTCTTAAATGCTATTGCTGCTCTTCCAATGACATACTAATATTTTTTAGGATTAAAAAAAAATTTTTTTTTTGGAGAGAGAGAGAGAACAGGGGAGAGGGGCAGAGGGAGGGAGGGAGGGAGGGAGGGAGGGAGAGAGAGAGAGAGAGAGAGAGAGAGAATCCCAAGCAGGCTCCATGCTCAATGTGGAGCTTGACTTAGGGCTTGATCCCACAACCCTGGGATTGTGACCTGAGCCAAAATCAAGAGTTAGATACTCCACTGACTAAGCCACCCAGGGGCCCTGACACACTGATAATCAAATAAACCCACAACTGTACAAAGAAGAAAGATAAAAGCAACACAAATTTCCCATCCAGGGCATCCAAAAAATGATGCATTTTGATTAATATCCTACTTGGATACCTTTCTATGTCTCTTTATGTTCATCAACGATTGTGAACATTTCACTCAATTAAAACAGTACATATAGTATACTGCCTTTTCACTAAAAATATGCCATGGACCTATTTACAAGTCAATAAATGTAGATTCATGCCATTAAAAAAAAAACAATTGGGGCAAATAATAGGCTAGCAAACAAGCTTAAGAGGAAAATCTGGGAAATGAGACATCTGTAGAGGCCTTTGAAAAGTTCCAACATATTCCTGAGCATCTAGATGGCCACACACATAAACAGGTCTGTACCCAGGAAAACCAGAGTAGGTTCTGAATGCTCAGGTCTGGCTTACGTTGAGGATATACACACGCAGGAAGTGAAGGCTAAGGAAGAGTTGAAAACTGTCTGAGTGTTGAAGGCATGCCCCAAGGCACACATAGGGTCCCTCTGGTTTTCCTCTACCTAATAATTGGCAACCAATTTTGCCTTAAAAGGCACTTAAGGACACAAGCATACATATATAAACTATAATGTGAAAATAAATATGTATAAAATATAAGAAAAGATATTCACTGTGAAAGTGTCTATAATAGGAAGATAATTAGAATCAATAAAGGATTAGTTAAATAAATTATAGTATATCTACATTTTTCAGACACCATGCAGCTACTAAAAAATAAAAGGATCGAGCACCTCGGTGGCTCAGTTGGTTAAGCATCCGACCCCTTATTTTGGCTCAGGTCATGACCTCATGGATGGTAAGATCAAGCCCCACATCAGGCTCTGCACTGACAGCATGGAGCCTGCTTGGGATTCTGTCTCCCTTACTTTCTGCCCTTCCCTCACTTGCTCTGTATCTCTCTCTCTCAAAATAAATAAAAATAAACTTAAAAACAATTTTTTTTAAGTAAAAGGCTGACCTACACTTACTGGCACGGGGAAAACTTTCCAAGACATATTACTCAGTTAAAAAAAAAAAAATCATGCTAGACAACAAAGTACATAGCATGATCCCTTTCTCTTAAAGTATAAGATGATCATATTTTTCCCTTTTATTTTCTTAGGGTCTCTTGATTTCTAACTGTATGCTTGATCTTTTCACTTGCCTCTATAAGACCCAGGTACTCTAGTTCTCTTCTGCCTAGTAACTGATAACTCATTTTCTCTTACAAAATATGTAAATATTTATATACATTCATAAATGCATATAAGATGCTAAAGTCAACATTAACTTTTTTTTTTTTTTAATTTTTTTTTTCAACGTTTATTTACTTTTGGGACAGAGAGAGACAGAGCATGAACGGGGGAGGGGCAGAGAGAGAGGGAGACACAGAATCGGAAGCAGGCTCCAGGCTCCGAGCCATCAGCCCAGAGCCCGACGCGGGGCTCGAACTCACGGACCGCGAGACCGTGACCTGGCTGAAGTCGGACGCCCAACCGACTGCGCCACCCAGGCGCCCCAACATTAACTTTAATATAGGAAGGATTAAAGAGGGTATTTTACATTTATATACTATTATATTGCTTGGATATTTTACTAAAAATAGTGTATTTGAGAATTAGGCATACTGTTTTAAGAGGAAGAAAAGAAATTTGGCACTTCTTGGTTGGTCTCAGAACATTGGACCATAAATAAAAAATAAGGTCAAAATAGAAAACCAGAACTTGAAAAACAAAGGAATACATGATAGTTCAACTGGGGCTCGACAAGCAGGCAGTACTTAGGTACCCAAACACACTTACAAATCTATAGTCAAGAAAAAGCTATAAGCTGAAAACCAAGTAGACAAAGAGGAAACCCAGTGCTATAGGAGTTAATCAAAATGCCAAGTAGGAAGAAATTCAAAGAGGGAAAGCAAGCCAAGCATCACATCTATATTGCTAATTGATGCATACGGTAATGTATTAAATAACATTCACTACATTAATGAATAAACATTAAAGAGTTTTTCTTGCCTCTTGCTTCTTATCCAGGTATATGAAGATTATCACATTCATATATCCTTGATTCCAAGAAAATACAGGCTGGTTGACAGAAATATATAATCCCAAGGACAGATTATAGGAATTTGATCTTGCCTAATGGCAAAACCAAGGAACTGGTTTTTGTTTTGATTTGTTCTAACACAAAGAACTGTTAAAATTAGGTCACAAACCCTAGAGATCTCAGAATATTGGAAGCACTGTTTCTATCAGTAACAGGAATATTTCTTCCAATCACTTTCTTTGCTATTTACAGGAGTGTAAACTAAACATTGTTAGGAGATCCATCAGTGTCTGAAATTTTTAGGGAGAAATACAAGCAGATTCCAAAGAGATCAAAGAAAGTACTATTCACATTGGAGAAGAAAGCAGATATGAGATTTCAAAGGGAAAAAAGAAAAAAAACACATGAACAAAGAATGGCCTGGAAACAAGAATGAAATTGGCATGTATAGACATTTGTGTCTCTAACTGGAGCACGGGGTTCTTGCCTGGAAAAGATTCTACCAAGAGGAAAGTGGCAAGAAAAATTATAAGGGGGTGAGGAGGTCAAGCATAAGGGTTTGGACCACATTCATTTCATCACAGGAAAAGCATCTACATTTTTGAGGAGAATGATATGACAAAAATCGTGTGTTAAGAAAATCTAGCCGTTGCATGCAGGAAAAAGTGGAGATTATGGATAGAAAATTAGGATACTGTGGACAGGTTTTTAGTGCCTTTTATGAAATAACTCGTGTCTAATTTTTCTCAACCTAGGCTACAGGGGAAAAAACTATGTGAGAGATCTGAAAAAAACATAAATTCATATAACCATCCCACCCTAAAATCAGTGACAATCAAAATCATTCTTTTCTGCAATTTTGAGGAATCGTTTTTTTACCTGGATCCTGGGAGACCAAATAACAAACATCATTCACAGTCTTAAGGAAATCTGAAAAATCCAGCATTCCATTAACTATAATAATGGTTCAGAAACAGAAGGAAAAAAACTGCATTAGCAAACTCATTAAGAACATAAGATGCGGGGCGCCTGGGTGGCGCAGTCGGTTAAGCGTCCGACTTCAGCCAGGTCACGATCTCGCGGTCCGTGAGTTCGAGCCCCGCGTCGGGCTCTGGGCTGATGGCTCGGAGCCTGGAGCCTGCTTCCGATTCTGTGTCTCCCTCTCTCTCTGCCCCTCCCCCGTTCATGCTCTGTCTCTCTCTGTCCCAAAAATAAATAAACGTTGAAAAAAAATAAAAAAAAAGAACATAAGATAAAAATGCAAACTAAAAATGTGAATAGAATTAACTGATAGTCTAGAGGAGCATTAACATTAAATATAGAATGTAAAAAGAAAACCTATCATAAAAACATAATTACACATTTTAATTATGTAGTGAATAGTGCCCAGCAATAATCAAAATGATATAGACTAGAATTTAATATACTGCAATATTCTTTACTCAAAGCTCTAATTTTTATACTTGTCATTAGGTGCAAAAAAAATCATGCAACTTGTCAATTTTACATATATAATGGTTTTACCTGAAAAGAATAGCACTGATTTCATTGTGTTCTAGCTAAGACCCTCTATACCAGCGGTTTGAGGGGAGATTACAGATCCAGATGAGACTCTAATGAAAGCTTTGCCTCAAATCATTCCATCTCGTTCTCTCCTCTCCTCCTTTCCTCTCTCTCTCTCTCTCATTACACACACACACACACACAAAATGTATTGAACAAATGCACAAAATATTGCACAATATTAAAGTCTTCACCCAAAAAATCCTCTCATTTATCATGCAAAAAGTAATGCCTATTTATTAAAAGAAAGAAAGAAATCTAAATTGTACAAATGAAAATTTCAGTAAGAAATTATTGCTTGGTTTGAATGAGAAGTTGAAATTATGGAGCTTTTTTTTCTGCATGATAATGCACAGGTCATCTCTGATGAGCAACTAGAGCTGAAAATCCAGATTTACAAAGTGTGACAAAACACAGAATCAGGATTCTTCTGTCTCATTTTCTAGACAAGCATAGATCTGCGTCAAGGAACATCTGAATTTTTCAAGATTCTTCAAGTTAAATAACTCTAACATCATTTTCCTCTTCAGATAGTAAATGAGGCCAATTTTGAAAGGGTTTATCTGTGTTTGGAAGAAACTTATTATAAATTTACATTTTAAATTAATGTAATCTGAACAAAGTAACTTATAAAAGAACATTTCAGTGCTTCTGGTGGTCTGCAGGCTTCTACTGTCAGAGAAATTGACAAGGCTTAGTTGTTCTCATTGCTAAACCACAGAAACACTTTCTGGATTGGAAAATTTGTCAAGTTGTCTACCTCAAAATTTCTTTTTCAGTGTAATAACTTGAGAGTGGTTTCTCCTTTCCTTCAAAGACACAATGAAACATCTGTGCAAATTTCAATCAATTATTTTGATTTGTTTTCTGACTTCTATGTGACTTAGGTTTAAACAAAAACCTTATAGATAAAACATCAAGAGCACAATCCATACAAGAAATAGTTGTAGACTAGACTTCTTCAGAAGTATGAACTTAAGTTGAAAGATATTCTTCAAAAATTGGGGTGCCTGGGTGGCTCAGCTGGTTAAATTCCGACTCTTGATTTGGGCTCAGGTCATGATCTCACAGTTGGTGAGTTCAAGCCTGGCATAGGGCTCTGTGCTGACAGGGCAGAGCCTGCTTGGGATTCTCTCTTTCCTCTCTGTTCCTCCCTTGCCTGTGCTCTCTCTCACATATCCAGTAAAGGACTCGTGTTCAGAATATATACATTCAAAATGCAATAGTAGGAACACAAACACATTTTCAATGGGCATAAGATATACAGGTAGCAAAAAAGCACATGAAGATATATTCAAAATCATTTGATCATTCAGGAAATGCAAATTAAAACCACAATGAGAAAACACCATACATCTATTAGAATGACAATTTTTAAAGGCTCACCAATTCCAGGATTGACAAGGATGAGGAGCATCTGAAACTGTCATAAATTGTTCATAACAATGTAAAATAATTCAGCTGCTTTGCAAGCACAGTTTAGCAGTTTCTAAAAAATTCAAATATACCTACCATATGACCCAGTTATCCTACCATCAGGTATTTACCCAAGATAAATGAAAGTATATGACTACACAAAGACACATAAATGAATGTTTACACCAGCTTTATTTGTAATAGCCAAAAACTAGAAACAATCCAAACATCATCAATTAATGAATGGATGAACAAATCATGGTACATCCATAAGAGAGAACACTGCTTAGCAAAAAGAAATAAACCTGATATGTACCAAAGCATAGATGAATCTCAGTATAATTACGCTGAGTGAAAGAAATCAAACTAAAAAAAAATGAGTACTTACTGCATGATATCATTTATATAAAGTTCTAGAAAATACAAACAATCTGTAGTGACAGAACCAGGTTAGTGTTTGCTTGGGAAGTAGTGAGGGGGGGTTGTGGAAAGAGAATGGGGGCTTACAAAGGGGTATAATGGGATTGAGTTTTCACAAGTATATACATATGTAGAAATTTTCAAATTGTATACTTTAAATAAGTCAAGTATATACCTCAATAAAACTATAAAATACGCAGATAATTTAAAATCCACTGGAATAGCCAATTCCAAAAACAGTACAGAGGTTTTGTCTAAAAATTAAAAACAGAACTATCATATCATCCAGCAAGCTCACTTTTGGATATATACCCAAAGGAAATAAAAGCACTATCTCAAAGAGCTATGTGCACTTCAAACATTGCAGCATTATGCCCAATAGCCAAGAAATGGAAACAGCCTAAATGCTCACCAACAGATGAATAAAGAAAATGTAACCTCTATGTATATGATATATTCTGGAGGGTGGAGGGAATGGGCAGATGTTTGTCAAAGGATACAAACTTTAGGTATAAGATGAACAAGTTCTGGGAATCTGATGTACAGCATGGTGACTATAGTTAATAATACTATATTGTATCTTTGAAATTTGCTGAGAGAGTATATCCTAAGAGAGTAGTGTTCTCATCACACACAAAAAAGGTAACTATGTGAGGTGATGGAGATGTTATTTACTTGATAGCTGGTAATCATTTCACAGTGTATATGTATATCAAATCATTACGTTGTACACTTTAAATATATGCAATTTATATTTGTCAATTATATCTCAATAAAGCTGGACAAGATAACATGACTTGACATAAACCATGTTCCTATAGGTATATGCATATCCTATGACCCAGCTTCTTCATTTCTAGAAATCTATCCTATAAAAATATTTACACAAACGTGCAAGAATTGATGAACAAGGATGCTCTTTATAGCATTATTTGTAATAGCAAAAATTTTAGAGGTAACTTTACCACTAATCAATATGAGACCAATTAAAATGTATATAACAAATATCCAGGAAGACTACCTACCAAATTATTAACAGTGTGTACTATGAAGAATTGTAGTGAAAGATTGAGGTGAAGAGATAATTTCCATTTTGTAATTTGTAAACTTCTTTAAGCTAAAAATACTAACTTAAAACAAAAAAACCTTTATACTCAGTTATTAAATTTTTTCTTGTATTTGCAATTTTTACCAAGATATTCAATATAGGTCTACACTTTTTTCAATGTAAAAATTAAGGAATAAAAATTTAAACTAATATATGTTATTTAAAATTGTTTGTATGGACACTAACAACGAAGCAGCAGAAAGAGAAATTAAGAAAACAATCCCATGTACAATGGCACCAAAAATAATAAAATACCAAAAATAAACTTAAGCAAGGAGGTGAAAGATCTGTACTCAGAAAACTATAAAACATTGATGAAAGAATGTGAAGATAACATAAACAAATGGAAAGACATTCCGGGCTCACGAATTAGAAGAATATTGTTAAAATATCCATACTACCCAAAGCAATCTACAAATGCAATGCAATCCCTATCAAAATACCAACAGCATTTCACAGAACTAGAACTAACAATCCTAAAATCTGTATGGAAACAGAAATGACTCCAAATAGCCAAAACAACCTTCAAAAATAAAAAGAAAGCTGGAGGTATCATAATTCCAGATTTCGAGTTATATTACAAAGCAGTAGTAATCAAAACAGTGTGGTACTGGCACAAAAATAGACACATAGGTCAATGGAACAGAATAGAAAACACAGAAGTAAACATACAGTTAAATGGCCAATTAATCTTCAACAAAGGAGATAAGAATATGCATTTGGAAAAGAGAGTCCCTTCAACAAACGGTGTTGGGAAAACTGGACAGCAACATGCAACAGAATGAAACTGGACCACTTTCTTACACTATACACAAAAGTTCAAAATGGACTAAGAATTTAAATGTTAGACCTAAACCCATAAAAATCCTAACAGAGAGTAGAGGCAGTAATTTCTCTGACATCAGCCATAGCAACATCTTTTTAGATACATCTCCTGAGGCAAGGGAAACAAAAGTAAAAATAAACTACTGGGATTACCACAGAATAAAAAGCTTTGGTACAGCAAAGGAAACAACCAATAAAACTAAACAATAACCTACTGAATGGGATAAGATGTTTGCAAATGACATACCCAATAAAGGGTTAGTATCCAAAATATATAAAGAACTTATATAATTCAACACCAGAAAAACAAATAATCCATTTTAAATGGGCAGAAGACAGGAACAGACATTTCTTCAAAGACGACGTACATATGGCCAACAGACACATGAAAAGGTGTTCAACATCACTCATCATCAGGGAAATGCAAATCAAAACCACAATGAGATATCACCTCACACCTATCAAAATGGCTAAATTTAAAAACACAAGGAAAAACAAGTGTTGGCAATGATGTAGAAAAAAAAAGGAATCCTTGTGCATTGTTGGTGGGAATGCAAACTGGTGTAGCCACTGTGGAATACAGTATGGAGATTCCTCAAAAAATTAAAACTACCATATGATCCAGTAATTGTACCTCTGGGAATTTAGCCAAAGAATAAACATTAATTCATAGGTATATAGGCATCCCTAGGTTTATTGCAGCATTATTTAAAATAGCCAAATTATGGGAGCAGTCCAAATGTCCATCGATAGATGAATGAAGATGTGATACACACACACACACACACACACACACACACACACACACACACACACACTGGAATATTATTCAGCCATAAAAAGAATTCAGTCTTGCCATTTGCAAAAACATGGATGGAGCTAGGGAGTATAATGCTGAGTGAAATAAGCCAGTCAGAGAAACACAAATACCATATGATTTTACTCACATGTAGAATTTATGAAACAAAGCAAATGAACAAAGTCGTGGGGGGTGGGGGTGGGGAACAGGACAAACCAACAAACATACTCTTAACTATAGAGAACAAACTGGGGGTTACCAGAGGGAAAGTGGATGAGGGGATGGATGAAATAGGTGAAGGGGATGAAAAGGATACTTATCTTGATGAGCACTGCGTAATACAGGGAATTGCTGAATCACTATATTGTACACCTGAAACTAATACAACACTGTATGCTACCTAACTGGAATTAAAATAAAATAAAAACAAATAAAATAAAATAAAATAGGTTGTATGGCTTTGGAGTAGACTTTTATCTTTCTGACCCTCAGTTTCCCCAACTGTAAATCCAGGTAATTGGAAGAAACTACATCTGAAGTCTTGAAATCTAAAGTTCTAAAGATTATTGCTTTGAATTTCTAATAACAGTATTACTTAAAAGCCTTAAAATGTTCACATCCTTTGACCTAGCAATTTCAATTTTAGTAACCTATCTTTTGTCTGATGAGATAAAGAGAAAAAACCCTGCTTATAACAGCAAAAAATTAGAAATGACATATTTATTTAGATTATTTGTTATATAGCTTATTTTTCAAAACAATTTGTTTTTGTGCTTTGATCTGTTCCCAGAATAATTCACAGCTGCCAAAAGCCAAGCTCTCCAACCAGCCTGATGGCAGGGCCCGGGTGATGGATGGATCGGGACTGCATGGTGGCCCACCGACAGTGAAGCTTCTTGTACCCCTGCTTTTATGTAATTTGGCCTTAGCATTGGTCAGGGCAGCCCCCCTACCAATGAAAGTACCTGGGGATTTGTCGGTTGGGGAATTGCCCATGACAGGCCCCCTGGGAAAAGGACCACGGGGGAAAGAAATAAGATTCCACAGGGAAATTATGCGGGCCTACATCCAGCCCTTGCCACCCCCTGTAAAGACTCCTCTACCTAAAGGAAGGATAGCCCCATATATTTCCCAGCCAGGGAGGGGGACAAATGGATTTGAAATCCCCACCCTGGCAACAAAGGAATGTATCTATGGATACAAATTACTCCAACCCCTAGGCCCACTTGGCCCCCAGGAGGCATTCCAGATGATAACTGGACCTGGTGGGTTAAGGTACAGAATGGTTCATTAGTTCCTAGGTATACATTGTCTCCCTGGGAGCGCAGAAGGCGTGGGTTCCCAGGGCCCTCTTAGTTCCCTCCCGGCACCCCAGACCAAAGCGAATAACTTTTGTTCCTTATACGCAAATGGTTCAAAGAAACAATTAAGAAGTCATGTCCCTGTAAATGTTCCACTTGAGGTGTTGAGAGATAGATGACCTTTCATGAAAATAGCAAAGCAAACGCTTTATAGACTATAAATAAACGTAGATACATAATGAAAATAATATGAAGAAATGAATCAATTTCTTGTAACGTTACAAGAAAATAACCATGTTGTCCCTTAATGGGTGATTACACAAAGGAACATTTTTAGAATTAGGTAAAGCCAAGAAACATAGATGACGCACGCTACAAGGAAATTGCTAACAAATATAATGCCACGTTTGCCGCAATAAAGCAGCCAGTCTAACACACTGTTGTTGTCCGTGTCCATTTGTTATTTTCGCCGACGCCGTGCATCCTTCGGGCACCCCTGGACCTGCTGGGGCTGGACCCCGGCACACAGCCATTTAAAAAGGCAGTGTTGGGGTGCCTGGGTGGCTCAGTCGGTTAAGCGTCCAACCTCGGCTCAGGTCATGATCTCACGGTTTGTGAGTTCAAGCCCCACGCCGGGCTCTGTGCTGACAGCTCAGAGCCTGGAGCCTGCTTCTGCTTCTGTGTCTCCCACTCTCTCTGCCCCTCCCCCACTCATGCTCTGTCTCTCTCTCTCAAAAATGAATAAATGTTAAAAAAAAATTTAAATATTTAAAAAGGCAGTGTGGATCTATATTTATTTACATGGAAGGTTGCCTAACATATAAAGTTAATAGAAAAAGGTAACAAAATTGTATGCATGTGAGTCAACATATATATTTTCTAATTATGTGTTTATGCATATGTATATACCACAGTTACACACACACACGCACACACATGCTTAGAAAAATCCTAGAAAAATATATGTAAAAATACCAAAGTTCAGCTCTGGGTAGTGGGATTACACATAAGTTTTATTTTCTCCTTTCTATTCTCCTATGCTTTCAGAGAATAAAGTTATTTCCACTTTGAATAATTATTTTAATAATAAATCTCCAAAAAATTATATGTCAAGAGAATTAACATATGGATAAATAAACATGTCAGAAAAAATAGAGTTGCTTTTTAGTCTTTCTAAAAGTTAGATTTATATTTATTATTTTATTTTTATACCCTCTGAAAGTTGTGTACAGTAGGCACTCAAAAAATGTTGGGGTGACTCGGATAGATAGACGAATGACACCATTGCAACTTGTCAATTCCTGTTAGGTTGCTAAGTAACATTCTATTGGTGGTCCATTTGACTCCTAGTATTCTCCATCTACAAATTTTTTATAATAACCAATCCACATCTTTTATTTGAGTAGCCTGACGCTTTTAACCTCAGAGTATTACTGTGCCATTGTGTGTATTAAGTTTATTTTATTTCTGACCAATCCTTCAACTTATCTATACCATTTTTATCCTAAACTTATCTCTCCTCCTTAATAAGCTTGGAATGGTCTGTAAATATAATCAGTTCTCTATTATTTACTTCTTTGATTAAAGTATTGGACACTGACAACAAAAGAACAATTACTTTTCCAGATGTTTTAAAATAAAATTATCAGGATTTTGATTTGCATTTTTTTGACTACTGAGGATGGAAAATATTTTTATATGATTATTGGCTACATATACTTTCTTTTATGTGATATTCTTATCCATGTGTCTTACTCACTTTTCCATTCCATTGTTTGTTACTAATTTGTATGAGTTCTTTACACATTCTGAAAACTAATCCTTTGCCACTTCTGCGAATTGCAAATATTTCCAAGTTCATAACTTGTCTTTTTACTTTAAAGTGTCTTTTGATAAATAAAAGTTCTTAATTTTAACATAGTTAAATATATTAATCTGGTCTTTTATACTCAAACACTTTGCCTTAAGAAATCTTCCCTATCGTACGCAAGTAGCAAAAATTAAAAGTCTAAAAATATCAGATGTTGATGAAAGTATGTCATAATCCAATCTGGTAATCAATCAATCCAATTATACTGGAGGCCCAATTTTTTAATATTATCGTAAATGTGCAAAAAAAGTTTTTAGAACATATTATAAAGCTTAGCTTTCCTATGATTTGTAATTAATCTGACCAACATATAACTTACATCCATGTTTGCAAACCTTAAACTAATAATGAAAACACAAAACTTACCATCAATATCAACAGTCTTTAGTGCCTTTTGCATTTCCAAATCACTTATAAAAATCTTCAAGGTGTGATGGATCATTGGCAGATCATTCACATAAATTTTACCACTTTGAATTTTGCTAAAAATTTTACAGGCCTTCTGAAGTGCTAAATACACACGACAAAACAGTTAATTAATTCAAACGAATAATTATCATCATCCCCGCTACACTCTCTCCCAATGAAAAAACAAAAATGATCAGTAAAGGAAGAAAGAGGAGCAAGTCTTGGTGTTCTAATTCTTTGCTTTAAAATCAATCTCATGATTTCTTTAGGTATATCTAGAGTAAATGACCTCCAAGTCTACAAGTTTCCTAAATAACTCTCAGAAACTGAGAAAAGTCATGCAAAGCTCACATAGCAAAGGCAGTCACAATTTTCCCTGGGAATGTTTAAATCCTTCTTCCATGCTCCCATATCACTTGGTACATATCTCAGACAAAGCTATTGGTATTGTGATTGCTTGCATGTCAATATCCCTCACTCAACTATCAGGCTC